AAGTGAAGGGGTCTGAATACTTTAAGAATGCACTGCATATTCCATTTTGATGCGACTCGAGCGATACCTCTCCATCCATTCTAGCAGCAGGCTACATGGAGAATGGAACAGCTGTATAGGGGAAACGGGTTGAGTTGCACAAAATGGAATATAATGTTGCGGATACATTTTGGAATGACAATTTCATGTGTACAACATCTAAAGACCTGCATCACTATACTGAGAGCGTTTCTGTCTCTAAAGGACCTATTTGGGTGTTTTTGGCGCATGTGTTCATGTTTTTTTAGAAACCCCCGTACTGCACAAAGAAAGTTGAGGAAGTGAATTGCTAGTTGGGGTAAGTCTCTCAAAAACAAGTGAAATCGCAAAAAGAAAGTGTCTGGACCATCTATAACATGCAATTTACATGCGAGATTTAGTTGTAAAAAAGAAAACTTCTCCTTTAAGGAATGAAATTAGTAGAGTATGAATATGCTCTATACCTAGTGCCAGAAGATCGCAGACATTAGAGTCATACATTATTGATCTTTTAAAGATGCACTATGCAGGAATCGCTCTGTCATTTCCTGGTTGCAAAGATTATAATAGTTTGCCTCATTTTAGTTTATGTGACAAAACAAGTAACTATAGTGTAGAGAATCATTGTACCATCTAAACCTGGTACAAACCTGGTTTATCCTATACCTGGGATAGGATAAAGTAATCCTTCTACACCCCCTTACCCCACCCCAAAAAAAAAAAAATGATAAGGTGAATGCACCAATTTGTAAGTCGCTCTGGATAAGAGGGTCTGCTAAATGACGAAAAATGTAAAAATGTAAAACTGCTGTGAAATATCTTATCCATAACCAAAAATATTGTATTTTCAGCTGTTGAACAAAACCGAAGTAAAAGACGCAAAAACTAAACTTAAGACCTGGGAGCATAGAAATAGCATATATAGAACAGATCTACCGCTTCTTAGACTTGCTTTCAATGAAAGTGACAGCTTTGTAACACATTTCCATGTGAATTTGGTCAGGTCCCCCAAAAAGTGTCGTATTGTAGCTTTAAAACATGTCAAGTGGTACAACGTCAATTCAACCAATAATTATTGAAAACACCTCTACCTAAAGGAGCTTCCCAACCCCTCTAGGACAGGATCAGGCCAGAAGACAATAGAAGTGAGGGGGCTTTCTGTTTCACCGGGTACAATGACAATCTCAGAGGTAATAGAGCGGCTGGATTGAAAAGCTGGGGTGACAGGGGTGAGGTCACCCGATCTCTATTGAGAAGGAGATAAAAGCACTCCCAGCCATAGAGCCCAGACAGCGATCGTGACAGTGGCACAACTTAATGTCACATGCTGAAGGTAAAGTATATGGTATTTGCAGAAAAGGGAGACAAAGCTTCCCTAGGAGTTTGTGTAAACTCTGAAAGTTGCCCAGTCTCTTGGATATTCATTAACTCTTATGTGGAACGTTAACTTATTCAGGTCAAGAAATCCCTATATTATAAACCCTTAATTTCATATAAAATTGCCTAAAAATACATTTAACTGACAAACAGCCTCTCATAAGACTGTAAATGATCTAACGTAAATGTGGCCATTTCACTCAATCGACACTAAGTGTACAAAACATTAACACCTGCTCGTTCCATGACAGACTGACCAGGTGAATCCAGGTGAACGCTATGATCCCTTATTGATTTCACTTTTTAAATCCACTTCAAATCCGTGTAAATGGAGGGGAGGAGACAGGTTAAAGAAGGATTTTTTGGCCTTGAGACAATTGAGACATGGATTGTGTATGTGTGCCATTCAGAGGGTGAACAGGCAAGAACAAATATTTACGTTTCTTTGGACGGGGTATGGTAGTGGGTGCCAGGCGTACCGGTTTGTGTCAAGAACTGCAACGCTGCTGGGTTATTCACGCTCAACATTTTACCATGTGTATCAAGAATGGTCCACCACCCAAAGGACATCCAGGCAACTTGACACAACTGTGGGAAGCATTGGAGTCAACATTGGCCAGCATCCTTGTGGAATGTGTTCAACACCTTGTAGAGTCCATGACCTGAATAATTGAGGCTGTTCTGAGGGCAAGGGGGGGGGGGGGGGGGGCACTCAATATTAGGAAGTTGTTCATAATGTTTTCAAAAAAATAAAAAATATTCTCACTCCATTTAAAGACGGTGAATCATGTCGGACTAGATGGAAATCCACCACTCCGCAGCCTCCCACACTCCAGCTGAAGGCACACTACAGTAGCTGTGACCCCGGCCACCTACGGCATATTCTTAGCCCACTGCAGAGGAGTCAATGAAATAGCTAGCCGGAGCTGGCTAAACTCACCCTGACCTCTATTCAAACACACTCTTCTTCTCCAAACCGTTTCTACCCTACAGCGGTCTTTTTGCGGGATAACTAGGATGTTTTATTTCCAACTTCACATGGGAGCTAGCCCAATTTGTTTCCCCCAAGGTGCACAGCAACTCTAAATATAAGTGAGAAAAAGCTTGGAAGGACCTATTTGTCTTCTGGAAAAAAATGATAATTTCAGAGAAAGGAGCAGAAAGTTCACACACTGAGTCACACTAGTAGTGTGCACTTGTGTAGGGGTTTAAGAGTTGTAGCTGCCTACTCCTCACTTAACAATAAAGACGAGTGCAACAGAGAGCTTTGTCTCAGCCATTGAATTAGATTAGACGCTCATCACACCCAAACCAGCGTTGTTACTGTGACGAGGTCACCACTTCAGCATCTATATCCCCTGTTAAGGAACGTACCCGTAGGTGGGAACTGGGTGCCAACAGTGATTTAGAGGTTCTCCCTCCAGCAGAGATGAACCATCTGCCCAAAATGAAATCTGACATTGATGAGTATCATCCACTGCCAGGTGTGCGTGGAGTGATTGAGCCTCCTGGAACATGTTGTTCCCAACTTTGATGGAAATGTAACAAACAACTGAACTCTACAGAAACACAGGGCAAAGACAGGCTAAAGCACACCAAGAGCCAATGACTCGGGGCATCACATACAGTCATGACCGAAATTACAAGCACCCTTGATAAAGATGAGCAAAAAATGCTATAAAAAAATCTAATACTGAGCTTTATTGTATGCTCAATAAAATGGGACAACTAAATTATTTTATACTAATACAATTGCTTAGAGAAAGATGGGTCAAAATGATTGGCACCCCTGTTTTCAATACTCCTGCAACCTCTCCTTGTGAGGTTAAGGGCACAATCTTTTTCTAAAATGTTTTATGAGATTGGAGAACACATTGAGAGGGATCTTAAGACCATTCTTTCATACAGAATCTTTCCAGGTACTTGATATCCATCGTCTACGCTCTTCAATTCAAACCACAGGTTTTTAATGGTGTTCCGGAGACTGAGATGTCCATAGCAAAATGTTGATTTTGTAGCCAATTAACCCTTTTTGGGGGGAATTTGATGTGCCAATAATTTTCACCCCTATATTTTTATGAAAAAAAAGTATTACAGAGCAATTGTATAACACAATTTGATTATTTTTCGCATACTTGAAAAATTACCAAGTAAAAATGTTTTAAAATCTAAAACCAGAGCAAATAAATCCAAACATAATTTCTGCACCCATCACACTACAATGTCAACCCAGTTTAGTATGTATTATTTATTTTATTGTCTTTTTTGCTTATCTTTATCAAGTGTGCCAATCATTTCAGTCATGACTGTATATGAGACAACGGCATGGCAAGTTGGCAACTCCGTAGAAAACAGATGGTTGGAGATGGAATTGAACCGCTTGTCCTACTGGAGACTACAAATGCATGCAAACAAAGTGCACCTAGGCTATACATGTATATAGCCATCCTGGTTTCCACAAATGGGCAATTTTAGCAAAATTTTCACAACCATTTTCCTACCTGAAATTGTCCGTGACTGTAAAGAGATGCTTGTTGTGCTTGACTGTAGAGACTAATGTCTCTGTTGGCAGTGTGGCTGCTGACTGAGCTCCGACAGCTTTGACATTAATTGTGGTTGCTCAATTATTTGGGAATGCTAATTCTACCTTTTCCCGCTTGCATTGTTCACACACAGACTCTGCTGCTTTTCCAAATTAGGCAGAAAAGCACACACAGCACACACGCCATCAAAGTCGAACAAAAGCCCAAATGGCTTGTTTAACGTCTATGGCAGGTTTATATATACTTATGATACTTTTTGTTTATTCTGACTGTATGCTATTGCATATCACTATGGAGAATAACATGGAGTAATTGTATCAAGCCAAAAATGTTAAAGGCCCAGTGCAGTCAAAAACATGATTTTTCTAAGATAGATAGTATATATCCGCACTACGAGGTTGGAATACTGTGAAATTGTGAAAATGATAATGCACTTTTAGTGTTTGAAAAGACCACCTGAAATTTCACCCTGTTTTGGTGAGATGGAGTTTTGGCCTGCCTGGTGACATCACCAGGCAGTAAATTAGTTAATAGATCAATAAGAAAGAGTTCCAAACCTCTGCCAATAAGATCTAGTTTTCAGTTTTCCCCTCCCTACTCAGACTACTCCTAGAACATTCCTAGCAAACTTATTGCTTGAGAAATTGCTCTTTGCTAAGAAGCAATAGTTGTTAATTTTTGACCATTTTAATTGAAAACAAATCGCAGTAAGGTACTTCATTGTTACCCAGAAATTATTTGAGATTGAGATAAAAACTGCTGCATTGGACCTTTAAATAAGTAAATGCAACTTGAGTAATTCATTAAGTGTACATCAGTGTTTCTTAATCCTGGCCCTGGGGATCCAAAGGGATGCATATTTTTGTTTTTGCCCTGGCACTACACACCTGATTCCACTAATCAAAGGTTTGATGATGAGTTGATTAGTGGAATCAGGTGTGTAGTGCCATGGCAAAAACATGCACCCCTTTGGGTCCCCAGGTCCAGAATTAAGAAACACTGCTGTCCACAAAATTGGCACCACAACAGGCAGGAGCACCTCACCTCATCATCCTGGTTAACCTCCTCCAGACTGAAGACATCTTTTCTCTTCACGGTCAGCAGGTCCAAGTCCCTCAAATCTTCATCCTCCTCCGTTTCATCTGCCCCAAAGAGGAGACCCTTAGGCCCAGGCTGTAACATTTCCTTGTCCACCTCCTCATCATCATCTTTCTCATCTGAGCTTTGGGACTCTCGAGCTCCTCTGAGCTGAGCCTTGAAGTTCTTTAGTTCCTTCTCCTCCTCAGACTGGGCCACATCTCCCTGCCCGCTGCTCTGCCCAGGGTCTGCTCTCTGCTTCTGGGCTTTGTTGAGAAAACGCACCCTTGGAGCAACAGCGAGGCCCAGAGAACTAGCAAGAGTACCAAAAGGGAAGAATGACATCGAGTTGGACATTTACTGAAATGTTTGGTTCATCATGGTCCAAAAAGGCTAAAATAGCTAGCAATGGCTAAAGCTAAGCTACTCTATGCTTGAATGAGGGAATGACACAGCTTCTTCTAATGATGCCCCATACCATATTCTCTGTAAAGGCCTTGTGCATAATGATGTCCACGTACCATCACATGCACAACAAATAGGCATATTGTGGCCTGGTTGACATTCTTTCAGGATTGGGAAGCCCTGAACAATTAGAGCAGATCTAAGGAAAACACTCCTCCACCGCTAGAGATAGATAAGTGCTCAAAATGGCCCCCGTTTCCTTTTTACTCACGATGCGTACTCCTGGAGCTTGAGCTGGAACACATCAAAGACGTCTTTGTTTTTCATAAGGTAGACGGAGCGCAGGTAGGAGACGAAACACTGCACACACACAGATAGAGGGGGGGGGGGGGGGGGGGGGGAGATGGAAAGGTGAGCAATATCGACGCCTGCCATCTCCTCGAACAGCCAGCTGAGTTAGGCGATGAATCACACGAGATGGTGCAAGATGGAGATAAGGGACCCTCTTCTCTTCGAGTGCGCTCTCTCCTCAGGAGAAATGTGTTGTGTTATTTGTATTTGTCCTGTTTTTGTTCTACCGTACGTTATTTTTAGTGCTACAATGATATTGATTATGACATTGTTGGGTTTGGAGCTTGCAAGAAAGGAATTTCTCTGTACTTGTGCACATGACATTAAAAACTTGAAATTATGATTCAACAATCTGATGACGCATGAAATGGTGTAAAATCACATTATGAGTACAAAAGAAGTGGGTATAACAATTGTACCGTCTAGGTGACGAGGGTGTTAATGACAGAGCCAAAAACACTGTAGGTACATAACATATGCAATTTCCATTTTCCATCACATTTGAGTCATTTAGTCAAAAGTGTAAATAATGCAGTATGTACAGTGCCTTCGGAAAGTATTCAGACCCCTTCACTTTTCCCACATTTTGTTACGTTACAGCCTTATTCTAAAAACGATTAAATAAAAACATGTCCTCAGCAAACTACTCACAATACCCCATAATGACAAAGCAAAAACACGTTTTTAGAAATGTTTGAACATTGATTAAAAATAAAAACAGAAATACCTTATTTACATAAGTATTCAGATCCTTTGCTATGAGACTCGAAATTGAGCTCAAGTGCATCCTGTTTCCATTGATAATTCTTGAGATGTTTCTACAACTTGATTGGAGTCCACCTGTGGTAAATTCAATTGATTGGACATGATTTGGAAAGGCACACACCTGTCTATATAAGGTCCCACAGTTGACAGTGCATGTCAGAGCAAAAACCAAGCCATGAGGTCGAAGGAATTGTCCGTAGAGCTCCAAGAGGCTTGTGTCGAGGCACAGATCTGGGCAAGGGTGCCAAAAAAAATCTGCAGCATTGAAGGTCCCCAAGAACACAGTGGCCTCCATCATTCTTAAATAGAAGAAGTTTGGAACCACCAAGACTCTTCCTAGAGCTGGCCGCCCGGCCAAACTAAGCAATCGGGGAGAAGGGCTTTGGTCAGGGAAGTGACCAAGAACCCAATGGCCACTCTGACAGAGCTCTCGAGTTTCTATGCGGAGATTGGAGAACCTTCCAGAAGGACAACCATCTCTGCAGTGTCCAGACGGAAGCCACTACTCAGTAAAAGGCACAATTCAGCCCGCTTGGAGTTTGCCAAAAGGCACCTAAAGACTCTCAGACCATGAGAAACAAGGTTATCTGGTCTGATGAAACAAAGACTGAACTCTTTGGCCTGAATGCCAAGAGTCATGTCTCGAGGAAACCTGGCACCATCCCTACGGTGAAGCATGGTGGTGCCAGCATCATGCTGTGGGTATGTTTTTCAGTGGCAGGGACTGGGAAACTAGTCAGGATTGAGGGAAAGATGAACGGAGCAAAGTACAGAGAGATCCTTGATGAAAACCTGCTCCAGAGTGCTCAGGACCTCAGACTGGGGTGAAGGTTCACCATCCAACAGGACAATGAACCTAAGCGCACAGCCAAGACAACGCAGGAGTGGCTTCGGGACAAGTCTCTGAATGTCCTTGAGTGGCCCAGCCAGAGCCCGGACTTGAACCAGATCGAACATCTCTGGAGAGACCTGAAAATAGCTGTGCAGCAACGCTCCCCATCCAACCTGACAGAGCCTGAGAGGATCTGCAGAGAAGAATGGGAGAAACTCCCCAAATACAGGTGTGCCAAGCATGTAGCGACATACCCAAGAAGACTCGAGGCTGTAATCGCTGCCAAAGGTGTTTAACAAAGCACTGAGTAAAGGGTCTGAATACTTATGTAAATGTGATATCAGTTTTTGTTTTGTTAATATGGGGTATTGTGTGTAGATTGATGAGGATTAAAACCAATGTCATCAATTTTAGAATAAGGCTGTAACATAACAAAATGTGGAAAAAGTGAAGGTGTCTGAATACTTTCCAAAGGCACTGTAAATGCAGTCCATTACAGGTTGGCCAGTTGTCCAAAAATCTACTTCACGAACAATTTCTACTGGCCCAGACATGGTGTAGTTTTTAAATGCATTGGGGTCATGCAGAGCCTATAGGTTGGCATGCTTTCTCTCTATATTCAGCTATTAAGCTACATTTAGTTATTATGATATGTATTCAAAAACTAATATAATTTAGAAATGTAAGTCATTACTCTATTCTTTAGAATTGCATTTTATTAATTGCATTCATTTTTTATTCTAAAGTATGTCATTTTAATAGGACACTCCCCCCTTTAAGACAACTGTGTTCCAAAATAGATATTGACCTGGCTACAGTTGGCTATCCAAGACAAATGCTAGGTGTCTTTTTGCAGACTATCAACAGTAGCCAGCATATTGCTAGCATGTTCACTATTGAAGGTTTACTTTTGTAAATCACTTTCCCTAGCTAAAATAAAATCAGCTTAGCAAGTAAGTAGATTGATGGACGCTTCTTTTTGCTCTGGACAGCTCGTGTGTGTGCTGTGTGAAGGCATCAACTCATGTACTGCTCGGGTAGTTGTGACTCGTGGGAGCGTGGTGGTGCTTGAATGAAAGGCCAATCATATTGCTAAAATATAAATACCATGACTTTTCCGTGTGTAGTCTTCAATGGTAGACTACAACAGAGCAGGTAAAATGTTGAACTGGAATGCAAAAATGTGCTAAGAAGTAGACGAGATCCAGTGGCCCGACATGTTTTTATTGTCCCCGGGCCAGTGGGCCATCGTTAATGTCGGACACTGCATTATCCTCATTATCATCCAGGTGACAACTCTAGATTTTATGGATGTAAGCACTATGGGTGAAAATAACAACTCCTGTCCTGGAAGGCTACTGGCTTGGCCCCTTATCCATCCCAATCCTGTAATGGTCTCACCCCTCCAGGATACTGACCCTTTGCGCTCGCTCCTTCTGTTCCTTCTCCTGGGCCAGGAAGGCCTCCAATTTCTGCTGCACGCTCGTCAGCTTCTCTGGGTTCACCCTGGCAACAGGAAGAAAATAATTTGTGAATCCACAAATCACATTTGTAAAATGTATTCAAAAACAGTCAAAAGGTCACAGATGCATGGACACACTCATTGATTAAAAAAAACCACACAGGTTATTAGAATGGTCCGTAACAAAACGTGCCATTCATATCAAAGGTCATATATATGCACACGTGATGAGCCTGAAAACGGTTAATTTATAATGTACTAGAGGTCACCAGAATTGAGCTTGTTCTGCCAAAAGAAAACAAAAAAATAAGAAAACAGTTGAACCCCCCCAGTCCGGAACTCCCTGGCTAGCTACATTCCCTATTTGGCTGGTGGAAAACACTGCTAAGGGTAGACTACGGACGGCTTGGTTTTTAATCATATGAAACAGAAACCAAGCAATTTTTACAGGAAAATAAGTTCTAAATACAAGGGTCACCAGTATCATCTCATTTCTCATTTCATAATGAGCATATGGACACGTAGCCTAAATTGAGTTTTTTTTTTTACGCTCATCCATAATGGGAGCTGGCTAAAATAATGTAGGCCTACTAGGGCTGACCCCATTTAGTCGACTAGATGTTTGGTCGATAGGCTGTTGGTTGACAGATTTGTTTAGTCGTGCGGTCGCAAATAGATTCATTATTATTTTATGACCTGTCTGATTCGCGCCTGTCTCAGTGGACTAATCTACGGCGGAGGCCGCGGGGATGGCACAGTCCGTCCCTTTAAGACAGGCATTGTGTGGGTATTTGCCTCGGCACGCCAAGCAATTTCATAAAATAAGTGAAATTGCATTCGTTTCGAAATTGGTTTTCCATAAATGGCTACTGCTTTGGACCTGACACAGAGTATTCCTTAAGCCTACAGTATGTGTGAAGATAATGTGTCTTGGGTATAATTTTAAATGTTGAGTCAAGAAGAAGGGGAGTGTGGCTTAGATGCACAAGGCACGTCTCTCAGGAATGCGTTCTCTCTAGCCAATTCGTGCGCATTCATTGTTTCATAACTTAATTGTGAGAATTGTTTGCCATTTGATAGAGTCTATCAATTCCTCATTACATATATCGCCAGTAGTACATTTACCGTTAATTCCCATCATTTCTAATCTACAATGTTTGTTTGGTTATGGTCATTTCTGTTAATGCAGTCAATGTATTATTATTAGTCATTTACCGTTCTCATTGTTGGAGTGGACACGTTTGCAGAGCTCACAACCTATGTTACACTTCTGAGAAAAGTTATTGTTTCTCATGGTCTGAGGGTCCTTTTGGCAGGTGACCAAGAACCCGATGGTAACTCTGACAGAGCTCCAGAGTTCCTCTGTGGAGATGGGAGAACCTTCCAGAAGGACAACCATCTCTGCAGCACTCCACCAATCAGGCCTTTATGGTAGAGTGTCCAGACGGAAGCCACTCCTCAGTAAAAGGCACATGACAGCCCGCTTGGAGTTTGCCAAAAGGAACCTAAAGGACTCTCAGACCATGAGAAACAAGATTCTCTGGTCTGATGAAACCAAGTTTGAACTCTTTGGCCTGAACGCCAAGCGTCACATCTGGAGGAAACCTGGCACCATCCCTACGGTGAATCCTGGTGGTGGCAGCATCATGCTGTGGGGACGTTTTTGAGCATCAGGGACTGGGAAACTAGTCAGGATCGAGGGAAAGATGAACTGAGCAAAGTACAGGGAGATCCTTGATGAAAACCTGCCCAAGAGCGCTCAGGACCTCAGACTGGGGCGAAAGTTCATCTTCCAACAGGACAACGACCCTAAGCACACAGCCAAGACAACGCAGGAGTGGCTTCGGGAAAAGTCTCTGAATGTCCTAGAGTGGCCCAGCCAGAGCCGGGACTTGAACCTGATTGAACATCTCTGGAGAGACATTTACATTACATTTACATTTTAGTCATTTAGCAGACGCTCTTATCCAGAGCAACTTACAGTTAGTGAGTGCATACATTATTTTTAAAATTTTCATACAGGCCCCCTGTAGGAATCGAACCCATAGCATTGAATACAAGGGAGGCCAGCAAGCAATTAGCCTACCATGATTGATTAATAATAATAGCCAATCAGCGTTGAGCTAAACTGAGTGAGCTCAGCTGTGAATGGTCCTGCCGCACCCAAAAAAAAAAAAAAAAGTGTCAAGGGAAGCCAGTTTGGATTTGGCTTCAGACCAATCACATCACAAGCCAAACATTATTGACAGAAGAAAACGTGAGTTGTTGCATCTCGTTGTGTTGTTGTCCTCCAGTGGCTGGCTAGCTAGCAAGCTAAAATCATCCCTTTCCTAAATTAGCCATCGATGGAGATAGGGATTTGGACTTGTGGTTTTACTTAACTCTCGGTACTGGCCAATGATAACAACGGCAATTCTAATCAAAATATAAATTCATACATTGTGCCCCTGGCCTGAGAGGATGGAAGTTCAACATGTAGCTAGATGTAGTATGCTAATGTTAACTAGCTGGCCTGGCGTATTGTTTCCCATGAAAGGAAGTTAAGCTAGCGAGCTAGTATTTTAGCCAGATAGCATAGGACAACAAAAACTTAAAGTGACAGTCATAGACCGTTTAGGCAACATTAGAGGATGGCGGCATTGGCGTTTCTCTACAAGCAGGGTGAGTCAACATGTTTTTTCTACTTGCACGCACACACAGAAATCAGTATCATGGACTGCCACGTCATACTTAGCTTATGTTGACTGGACTAAATAGTTTTTGGTATCTATTAGTTGTCAATGTATTAGACTAAGCATAGATGACTAGATGATGTTAAAATGGTGCTGGAATAGTGGAGGCAGCTGCTGTTTTCTTTGCGACTTGCGATAACTCTCCGTGGTTCTAAATCAATAGTTGTTTAGTAGTCAAAAAATTTCAGAAACATGACCTTGCTTGACCATGCTGTAGATCATGTAACTGTTTGTTAAATGCAATATGCTTTGTGGACTCCCAAGGACAGATGTTGCTCTCCGGTTTTGTGATGAAACAAATGTGTGGTTGGATTTATTCTGCCACTGTGTCTTCTTATTGTCTCGGCCTTAGTTCATATGCCGTGATATATAGGCCTAACAGGTTATAGAGCAAACAACTAAATTAGCACAACACATAGGTTGAAATATTATTATAATTTTTTCCTGGATTGGCTTCCCCAGTGATTTCACCCATGCACTGCTACTGGTCCAGAGCTCACTGCCGCTGGAATCTGAGGGCCCAGAATAGTTGATACAATGTTGCAACTGGCCGGACCCAGTTGATAGTTGATACAATGTTTTAAGTTTGTTGCAGACAGGCGGAGTAGAGAGATGAATGTGATTGAAAGAACATGAACAAACTTCCATGCGTAGCCATGTGATTTATAGGATATTTTCTACCTGCAATGTTTTTATTTGTTGGCTTTATGCATGCTATTTTTACCTAGTTGGCAATAGAACAAAAATACGTTATTATAATTTAAATTAAATTATCGATCTCTGGCTCCCTCGCAAGTCATTTGTGTGTCTTAATTTCATAAAACAGTGCACTTAAAGCATCAGATAAGATCAGTGCATATATTACAACACATAGGGTGCTTATAAAAAAAAAACATTTGTTTTTTATGTTTATTAATACAAGGCTTCCTGGCACAAAAAGCACATCTCCCGTCTTGTTACATGAGCATAAGGGCACTGTGTGTCACGGCTTTATAGGTCGTGCTTCCGCTCACATCCATTCCATGACCAACCATGTTACCGTTAAGACCTGCTTTTCATTGGTCTTAAATTTCCCGATATGCGCTGCAAGAAATTGTCACTTTTGCGCTTGTTTTCAAGGAGACACTTCAAATATTGCCACCCCTCCCACCTCAGCGCAAGTGAGCTAATATTAGACAGGTAAGTTGCTAAACCTGGCACATGGGGTGGAAAATGCAAGGGCACCAGTTTTTACATGCTGAAATTGCAAACTAATATGCGCAGCGGCAGCCAAAAATAGATCCCTGACTGTGCATGTGTGAATAATATTAATTTATGTTATATAGCACCTTGGGCATGAGAAACACTTTATAAAATCTAATTTCCATTCTAATTATTTCTGTGCAAGTGTGAAAAAGAGTGATGAGTGTATACATATTTGTGCATGTGGAAGAGAGCGGCGCAAGTTTGTGTGTGCATATGCACGAGTGTGTGCATGTGTGTGTGTGTGTGTGCATGTGCTGCGAGGGCATCATGCTGGGCCCGGTGCTTATCAGCATTTAGCCAGAGGGGCTTAGGCCTGTTGTCCTCTGTGATGACAGAGCCAGTCTCTCACGCTCTCTCTCTCTCACACACACACAAAATACACGGTTGGCCTATTTACTGCACCGCTCACAGCCCCTCAGCTCCACTCAGCCTCTCCCCATCTCACACACAGCTCCAACAAACAGGATATCAGGTCCCTCACTATTAAAACGTACTGTGACACCATGAAACGGATGGTGTCAGGCACACACAGGGGACAGGACAAGGGCACAGGTTCAATAGCTATATAGCACGCATGTACAGTATATTTGAACTACCAGAAACTATGAGGTTGTTTCAGAATCAGAAATTTGAGGAAAGTCAGCTGGCTCACTTGTTGACCCTGCCTGCTTTGTGAAATCTCCCCCATCTGTCCAATGCATCGCCTAAGTTGAAATAGTATTTTGAAGCATATGGTATAATTTAAAACATTCTCACAGGGCCTCTGTTTGTTTATTTGTTTGGGGGGGGGGGGGGGGGGGGGGGGGTGATGGAGACAGGGGAATAAAGCTTCAAAAGAGTAAGAGAGACAAAACAGACCACCACCTGTTTTGTATTTATTCCTCACATACAGTAGATCTCCATAGCCAACAGCCTTCCCAGTCCCAGTGAAATACAAGTGTACAGTGAGGGAAAAAAGTATTTGATCCCCTGCTGATTTTGTACGTTTGCCCACTGACAAAGACATGATCAGTCTATAATTTTAATGGTAGGTTTATTTGAACAGTGAGAGACAGAATAATAACAAAAGAATCCAGAAAAACGCATGTCAAAAATTTTATAAATTGATTTGCATTTTAATGAGGGAAATAAGTATTTGACCCCTCTGCAAAACATTACTTAGTACTTGGTGGCAAAACCCTTGTTGGCAATCAGAGGTCAGACGTTTCTTGTAGTTGGCCACCAGGTTTGCACACATCTCAGGAGGGATTTTGTCCCACTCCTCTTCGCAGATCTTCTCCAAGTCATTAAGGTTTCGAGGCTGACGTTTAGCAACTCCAACCTTCAGCTCCCTCCACAGATTTTCTATGGGATTAAGGTCTGGAGACTGGCTAGGCCACTCCAGGACCTTAATGTGCTTCTTCTTGAGCCACTCCTTTGTTGCCTTGGCCGTGTGTTTTGGGTCATTGTCATGCTGGAATACCCATCCACAACCCATTTTCAATGCCCTGGCTGAGGGAAGGAGGTTCTCACCCAATATTTGACGGTGCATGGCGCCGTCCATCATCCCTTTGATGCGGTGAAGTTGTCCTGTCCCCTTAGCAGAAAAACACCCCCAAAGCATAATGTTTCCACCTCCATGTTTGACGGTGGGGATGGTGTTCTTGGGGTCATAGGCAGCATTCCTCCTCCTCCAAACACGGCGAGTTGAGTTGATGCCAAAGAGCTCGATTTTGGTCTCATCTGACCACAAAACCTTCACCCAGTTCTCCTCTGAATCATTCAGATGTTCATTGGCAAACTTCAGACAGGCCTGTATATGTGCTTTCTTGAGCAGGGGGACCTTGCGGGCGCTGTAGGATTTCAGTCCTTCACGGCGTAGTGTGTTACCAATTGTTTTCTTGGTGACTATGGTCCCAGCTGCCTTGAGATCATTGACAAGATCCTCCCGTGTAGTTCTGGGCTGATTCCTCACCGTTCTCATGATCATTGCAACTCCATGAGGTGAGATCTTGCATGGAGCCCCAGGCCGAGGGAGATTGATAGTTATTTTGTGTTTCTTCCATTTGCGAATAATCGCACCAACTGTTGTCACCTTCTCACCAAGCTGCTTGGCGATGGTCTTGTAGCCCATTCCAGCCTTGTGTATGTCTACAATCTTGTTCCTGACATCCTTGGAGAGCTCTTTGGTCTTGGCCATGGTGGAGAGTTTGGAATCTGATTGATTGATTGCTTCTGTGGACAGGTGTCTTTTATACAGGTAACAAACTGAGATTAGGAGCACTCCCTTTAAGTGTGTGCTCCTAATCTCAGCTCGTTACCTGTATAAAAGACAACTGGGAGCCAGAAATCTTTCTGATTGAGAGGGGGTCAAATACTTATTTCCGTCATTAAAATGCAAATCAATTTATAACATTTTTGACATGCGTCTTTCTGGATTTTGTTGTTGTTATTCTGTCTCTCACTGTTCAAATAAACCTACCATTAAAATTATAGACTGATCATGTCTTTGTCAGCGGGCAAACGTACAAAATCAGCAGGGGATCAAATACTTTTTTCCCTCACTGTATGTGTGAGAGGTTGTAGGTGAACTCACTGGATTCTGTTGATGGGGACTTTCTTCTCCTGGAGCTGGGATAGCATGTCCTTCTCTTCTGAGGGCAGCAGGACAAGCAGAGCCTCTCCTCCCTCCTTATACCTGTTAGGCAAAAACAATTGCATTCTTATTAGGGCTGGCACAATTACTGTATAATAGTGTAAGCAACAATTATGGACAATAACCAGGAACTAAATAAGATAAGCCTTATTACATTCATTTTAGGAGAAGGGGGGATTCAACTTTATATTCAAGTAGATATTGATTACTCAATAGCAGCTTTTCATATTTACATGAAGTGGGTAAAGTTGGTTATCATTTTACGAGCAGAACGGCACGTTTGGGAGGAGGAGCTTCATTTCCAAAAATTCCAAGCGGTCAGAACCATTTGTTTTTTAGACAGTGGTGTCACCAAAGCTGTGTTGTATTCATTATGTATGTTGTAGGTCACTTTCAAAGATGCATAACAAGTTCAAAAATGCCAATTATGACAATAACCGTGGCCATTTGCATGACAATTAATCGTTACCCCAAATTCCATAATCGTCACAGCCCTAATTCTTATTTTATTGTATGTCCTAAATGTATGAATACGTTTCAATTGGCCAATAGCGCAGAGGAGTGGGTGTAATAATGTAAAATAATGATGCTGAACCTCAAATGCGTACATAACTTCTGCAATCAATCTGCAAAATTTGCACAGTTAATGGTACGCCTCTTATGATCATGAACGACTTCTTTGCATGGTTGCGTCATGGTTTTGTGACCAAGTTAGAGGCATAGGGAGAGACAGATGGGGTGCAAGACAGAGAAAGAGGTGGCGAAGAGCGAGAGCTACATTCTTCCTCACACCAAGAGGAGCTGTGAAATACATGCAGAGTCAGACTGAGGGGGGAGCGAGAGACAAATGGAAACAGCTGTGGAGACTGATGCTACACTACAGCTCTGGTTGGTAGAGTGCACATGAGCACTTGGCCTTCCTTCAAACTCACTGACTCCCAAAATGGAATAACACCAGGCAGCTAGGGTCCATCTTACTCCAAAAGCAGCAGCATGCTGCAATAAGCCTAGAAAGGATTACCCTTTAGTCATGTTACATCACACAAAAGAACCAACAAGCAAGAGGTTTGTCAGGGGGTATGGCAACACAAAAGCAAAAATATTTAGAGATGAGCAGCCCAGAGGTTTTAGCAGCTCACTAATCACTGTTCCATTTGTGGCTCGAAGCACATCATGACTGCTTAAGATGCACATTGCTGCTGTCGGAGAGTGTGCTGCACAGAGCTCCGTAGAAGCAAAGCACACTAATGTCTGTATTTTTCTGTCTCAGACACACACTTACTCCCTCTCTTTTTCACACTGATGCAATTACCAGGTGATATCGGTGTGAGATTACACACACACCCCCATGAGTCAGCACCGCAGTTGGGCAAACACAGCCAAAGCTGAGAGATATTCCCCTCACTCCTCTACTGCTCCCAAGTGTTATCCAAAGGAAGCCCAGTGTACACAACACTTTGGTTCAAAAGAATACTGTACCAACCTGAGGTAAACATGGTTTGTACCACGTGGCTAATGAACTGCACGTTCAGAATCAGCATAGCTGTGTGCAAGCTCTCTGCTCAAGCTGTTTTTCTCTATCAGCACTGCTATGGTACCAACTCACCATTGTACTAGCAGAGAACAATACTATACAGCATCATATGTCACCTAAAGTACACAGTAGGTACCTCTGGATTTTGGAACACATTTGAAAGCCAGTCTGATAACACTTCTGTGTATAATGACTGTGCGAGGCTGTAGGCTTTAGAGAGAGGTAGTGTGAGAGGTGGAACATACAACAACACTGCCATCTAGTGAGTAGGCCAACTGTTGTGAGTCTAGTGAGTAGGCCAACTGTTGTGAGTCTAGTGAGTAGGCCAACTGTTGTGAGTCTAGTGAGTAGGCCAACTGTTGCGAGTCTAGTGAGTAGGCCAACTGTTGCGAGTCTAGTGAGTAGGCCAACTGTTGCGAGTCTAGTGAGTAGGCCAACTGTTGCGAGTCTAGTGAGTAGGCCAACTGTTGCGAGTCTAGTGAGTAGGCCAACTGTTGCGAGTCTAGTGAGTAGGCCAACTGTTGCGAGTCTAGTGAGTAGGCCAACTGTTGTGAGAGGAGTGATAGTGAGATGATGCGATAGGATAATGGATTGACTCTGAAGGAACCTTCAATTGTTGCACACTGTACAATAATTAATGGTGGCTTGTTGTGGGTACATTTGTGTAAATGGCAGTGTCCCTGTAAGATTCAGTACTACACTGTGATAACTTCACTTTAATACTACTGTTGGAAAAACATAGTATTTTCTGAGTAATTCTGCATATACAATGAAAACATGCCAGGTCCAGTTAAGGGGGTTATTACCTGGCTGTTCGTCCCACTCTGTGGATGTATGTGTTGGCGTCCTCTGGACAGTCAAACTGCAACACCCAGTTCACAGCAGGGAAGTCTACAAAGTGGGGGGAGAAAACGTAATTATTATTCACCACAAGCCATGAGCAAGGACCTTCTGGCTCTGGTGTCAGAGCAGTAAATATTTATTTCATTTTAGGGTTCGTGTTTGAGCTGTGCCCCAAACCGTCATCTCTGTCCCTACTGACTAAAGAGATCCAGCCAGTCTGTAGAGTAGATGCTGATGTGTTAGTACCTAGGCCTCTGGCTGCAATGTCTGTGGCGAAGAGCACAGCGTTCTTCTTCTTGATGAAGTCGTTGTAGACCTCCACCCTCTTCATCTGCTGTTGCTTCCCATGCAGGGCCAGGATGGGCATGCCCGGACGCAGCCGACAGAACACCCGGAACAGGTATTGCACCTACGGAGGGAGAGAGAAAAAGAGAGAGCCTTGATGTTTGCAGCAAAGACTATGACTAGACCATGAAGCTATAAGCCTAATGGAGGAACGTTTGCACAAACTAGCGAAGCCTCACCTCTTTGCAACAGGCGAAGAAGACGATGACTTTCTTCTGCAGGTGGCTCCTGATGAAGGAGAAGAGCATGTTGACCTTCTGGTGCAGCTCACACACCACGTAGTTCTGCTCCAGCGTGGCCGGCGTGCTGCATGGGGACACAGAAACAAATAGTCTTTTACTTTGTCTCTTTCAGGTCGTTTGTGTTGTACTTCATCTTGTTGCTAAATAGGACAGAGAACTAAGGAATTGTGTGCCTTAAAGAATGTTTAAAGCTGGGGTTGCATTTGATTGTGCAGCAGACCTGGGTTCAAAAAGGCAAGAATTTAAATCATTACAAAAACTTGAGTTGTGCTTGATTGAACTTGCTTTTTGCAATGAGCCAATAGGAATGTCCCAAAAGTGCAAACCCCACCAACAGCAACCTGGCACTCCAGCCAGGCTAAAGCAAACAATCACAGGTACTTGAGATTTCAAATAGTAGGCTAAAATCGAAGTCATGTCTGTTGTGCAGTGCTCCACTTTAGCTCCTAACAGGTTTCAGGTCAAATGTGGTTTAAAACACTTGACGTGCACTGTCTGAGGAGCCTTGATAAGGCTGAATCAGAGAAAGCAAAGAGTTCTCTTTCATCTCTCCCTCTGCTGCTGCAGCCTGTGCTTACTTACTCCCATATAACAAAATCGCTTCAACATCGAGGACAAAGCCATGACCGCAGCATAAACACTAAACCAGTCTATCAGCTAAGACTCATCAAAAAAGAAGTGCAGCTGGAGAAAAAAGCAAGAGCATAAAACAAGAGTAGTATGATAAGTGTCAGCTGGTGCATCTAAACCTGAATTGAAGTTGCTGATATTCAGATAAAACAGTATGTTAATGTTCGACCCAATTAGCATGCGAGCCTGAAGGTGGGAGAGAATCCACACTATTAAATCAGCACCTGGCTGCACAGTGACACATCATTATTTACTAGGACTATGGACTTCACATAACATCCATGACAACACTTGTATTTGTTGTAAGTAACGGCCCACTTTTACCTCTTCCGTATTCATACCATATACTTGATGTCAGTTTGTCCAAATACACTACATGACCAAAAGTATGTGGACACCTGCTCGTTGAACTTCTCATTCCAAAATCATGGGCATTAATATGGAGTTGGTCCCGCCTTCGCTGCTAAAACAGCCTCCACTCTTCTGGGAAAGCTTTCCACTACATGTTGGAACATTGCTGCGGGGACTTCCTTCCATTCAGACACAAGAGCATTAGTGAGGTCGGGCACTGATGTTGGGCCATTAGGCATGGCTCGCAGTCGGCGTTCCAATTCATCCCAAAAGTGTTCGATGGGGTTGAGGTCAGGGCTCTGTGCAGGCCAGTCAAGTTCTTCCACACCGATCTCGACAAACCATTTCTGTATGGACCTTGCTTTGCGCACGGGGGCGTTGTCATGCTGAAAGTTGGAAGCACAGAATCGTCTAGAACGTCATTCTATGCTGTAGCTTTAAGACTTCCCTTCATTGGAACTAAGGAGCCTAAACATGGAAAACAGCCCCAGACCATTATTCCTCCTCCACCAAACTTTACAATTGGCACTATGCATTGGGGCAGGTAGCGTTCTCCTGGCATCCGCCAAACCCAGATTTGTCTGTCGGACTGCCAGATGGTGAAGCGTGATTTATCACTGCAGAGAACGCATTTCCACTGCTCCAGAGTCCAATGGCGGCGAGCTTTACACCACTCCAGCCGACACTTGGCATTGCGCATGGTGATCTTAGGCTTGTGTGCAGCTGCTTGGCCATGGAAACCCATTTCATGAAGCTCCCGACGAACAGTTCTTGTACCGACGTTGCTTCCAGAGGCAGTTTGGAACTCGGTAGTGAGTGTTGCAACCGAGGACAGACGCTTTTTACATGCTACACGCTTAAGCACTCATCGGTCCTGTTCTGTGAGCTTGTGTGGCCTACCACTTCGTGGCTGAGCCGTTGTTGCTCCTAAAAGTTTCCACTTCACAATAACAGCACTTACAGTTGACTGGGGCAGCTCTAGCAGGGCAGAAATTTGACGAACTGACTTGGTGGAAAGGTGGCATCCTATGACAGTGCCTCGTTGAAAGTCACTGAGTGTTTCAGTAAGGCCATTCTACTGCTAATGTTTGTCTATGGAGATTGCCTGGCTGTGTGCTCGATTTTATAATAATAAGAACTAGCCGAATCCACTAATTTCAAGGGGTGTCCACATACTTTTGTATATATTGTGTATAAGCAATCAATGTAAGCACCCTGCAATCGCTGAGTAATAACATTCACATGACCTACCAGTAGCTTAGGAGACTCATTGAAATCCCTCGACTGAATTCAAACATCACCTTCCACAAGTATTTTTAATTGAGATATCATGTTTCATTTCCTGAGTTGAAAATTGATAGAAATCCAAGTGACGTTTACCCCAACTGCCAGATTTCTAAATGCCAAGACTAAGAGTCTATAGACACAGGACTATTGTTGCGTGTTATATAATAGTGCACCTACCTGAACATGGCCTTCTCGTGCACCCAGACATACTCTGGGTCTTTGAGGCTGAGGCGGGCCAGGTCTTTCACTGACTTGGTCTGTGTGGCTGAGAACAGCAGTGTCTGACGGGTCTTGGGGAGGTTCTCCACTATGGCGTTGATAGTGTCGGCAAAACCCATGTCCAGGATACGATCCGCCTCATCCAAAACTAAAAAGAATTAAACACATGATTTCTTCAATTTCAAGTCCATCACTTTTGCCAACAAGGGTATTATTCTCCAATTACAGACCCAGATCAAAACAAACAGTGCTACTAAACCAATGTTGCATAACATTAACAGTAAGAATGTAAAAATCCCCAAAACAACTTTTAGCTCATACCACAGTAAAACTATGTACCTAGCATGTGGAGATCGGAGGCGTGGAACGCAGCAGTCTCGTCCATGTGCTGGAGCAGGCGTCCTGGCGTGCAGATGATGATGTTGGTGCGGTGGATCTTCTCAGACTCATTTTTCAGGTCCTACAAAAAACCATACAACAGAGATTACACTGGAATCCAACAGAATAACAGGGCACAAACTTTCAAACAACACCAACAGAGGTGTCAAAACCAACATGAAATTAACTGCTAATACCGGCACTTGAAAGTAAATAAAGTACCTTCCCGCCAATGATGAGGCCGGCAGAGAACTCGTGGTTCTTGCCCACTTTGCGGAGCACTTCGAAGGTCTGATAGGCTAGCTCTCGTGTGGGGGAGATGATGAGGGCCCCCAGGCCATCCATGGCTGTCCACTGCTGACGATACAAACATTCCAATACCTGGAAATGACACCAACACGTGTGAACAGCCATGACACATCAATAGCCTCAAATAATGGATGCACACTGCATCTGCCTTCATATCAGCTCGCAATATTGCATAGTTATCCAGTAGAATACAATTGGGTACTCACAGGAATGAGAAAGGCCAGTGTTTTTCCAGAGCCAGTCTTTGCAGCGCCAAGAACATCTTTACCTTGTAACGCAAAGCCAATGGTCTGTCTCTGTATTTCTGTGGGCTGACGATACTGTGCTTCCATCAGACCTGGGGTAAACAAGAAAACTGTCAGTGCCAAATAAGTTACTGTCAATGGCATAAGATGCTTGGCAATTTCATAACCAATTCATATTTACCTCGCAGGGTATTCTTTGAGATGGGGAAATCTGAAAACCTCTCAGCATCCTTGGCATTTATCTAGAAGACAAAAGTGTTAGTTTATCACACACGTCCCCTGAAGAAGAGCGATATGATGAAATCATTGTCAAGAGAAATAATTTAGCTAGCATTACAATAGAAACGTTATCTAGCCTAGGATGTCCTAAAATGTCTTATGGGACAGGAGATTGCTTTGATTAGACTGAAAATGTGATAGTTTGTTTACAGTCCTAGTCCCGATTGTGGCGATGCTTTCCATTGCCTGTACAGCATAGCCATGCACATTTACATAGAAAAAAGCTAAACGTCCCTTGTCTGTCATGAATATTGAATACAATTATATTTGAACTTACTCTGCTGATTGTCTGTGGGGTTGGTCCTTCAGCTGTTCGAAATTTGAGCCAAAATATCTACAGGAAAGTTTTATTAAACCGACTTCAAAACGCGGGACTCTGTGTGTCAATCAAGATGTGTTTGTTCATGACCTAAGGCATGTGTAGACGGAAGTACATGCACGCGATTAATGCATACTAACAGAAGTCTAGCAGGTGTTTACATGGATGGTTTTGCACATCTGCCAGGTGATAGGAATTATGGCAGTACCTGCCCAATAAAATCCGTCAAAAAAATTCCTGTGGATATTTTGCCTCAAATTTCGAACAGCTGAAGGACCAACCAAACAGACAACCGCTAAAGTTAATTTTATTAAACATTCTGTTTTGTGAGGAAACGTACGTTTTTGCAGTACTTTGTTTAAGACTAATGTATTACCAAGAATTGGCATCAGTCTGATTTATTAGGCAATTACCTAGCCATCTAGCCTCGCCCAACTTCGTAGGCTAAAACAAACCTTTACCTCGTTATATTTGTTGACAAGCCGTTGAATACCTTCTTTCTCCACCTGCCAGTCAGGTTTCCTTTTCTGTCTTTTCTCTTGTTTAACTCGTGTTTTCGTCTTGTTGTATTTCTTCTTCCATCGCTCGAAGTTCTTCACAGGATCAGCGGTGTCGGTTGGGTTTTTCTTCCCCATTTTTTTCTTGGGGGAGTTGTTTGGTCGTTTGCCCTTCTCCATGGTTAAATAAATAAATTCAAGGATAATGTAATGTTTTAAAACGAAATGTTTGGTGGTTCAGTCAAACGGCATGTGAACGCTGCAGCACACACATGTAGACGCATAACTATGACGTCAACGCAAACCGGAAATGTCCACATACAGGTGACGAGACACGTCGTTCAACAAAAACTGCTCAAATTTGCTGGGGTGTATTAATTACGCCGATTCTGTTGCAAAACGTTTTGCAACAAACAGTTTATTCCAAACGCTGTTGCGTTCCGTTATGTTCTTAAATGGACGTTGTAGTTCAGTCGTGTCTCTCTTCCAAAAATATATAAGTCTGGAAGAAACTCCAGCCTTCACTCTACTTTAGAGCATGGAAGAATCGATCATTTATAGATGTGCTGTTTACGCCAAACACTTTACAGACTATAAGGATTGGAATGGCAATGCGTAGAAACCATTAATGTAAATGAACTACAACTTCCGTTAAGGAAGCCAACAGCTTTTATATCACGCTGAAGAGCGTTTGGTGTAAATGGTTTGTTGCAAAACGATTTGCAACTAACGAAACGTTTAGCAACTGAATCAGCGTAATGAATACACCCCTAGTTTGTTGAATTTGATAGGAAATTATAATTTATCACATAATTAAAATATACATTAACTGATAGACGTTCCATGTAGCTACCTGCAAATCTTCAACCATATTCCTGCATTATCAACTCACAATGTAATTCCAAAGTACTCTACAAAAAAATATAAAGCACGAAACATTAAGAAGAATAGTAAAGCATCTGGATAATCATGGTTGAAGAGATGTGTATAAATGTCCCATCTGATCTTTTCAGTTCACATAGTGCTCATTCACAAAGCCGTTTCAGGTACAAATCATTTTATGAAATGATGAACAGAGAAAGAAAACACAGTTTAATGAAAGGCAATAGCCCTAGCCTTTTGCGCATCCTAGTACAGTATGCATTATTAGTGTGGTAGAGCTTGTCCACAGGCATACTGTACCTTATTGCATTAATGGCTTAGCTGAAAGTAGAAGCATTATTGGTGCATTATTGGGTTTTTAAAGCTGGATATACAACAGGATTTCAAAACTGCAGTTTATATGCAAAATAGTTATTGTTACAATGGCATATATTGCATTTAAGTTCACAACTAGGCATTAAGATATTAATGAACACTTTTCCACAGCAGTGAAGGAAAGTGCTGCAGCAAATAAGGGTCGTCTGTTGGAATCAAGAGTCTTTGATTTTGCTGAGAGCCACCGCCCGCCTCTCAGTGTTCTGGAACAAAGCTCGGATCAGGCTCTTCATCTCGGAACTACAGAACTCCAGCGCCAGAGGCCCTTTGCCCTCCGCCCACCTTCAGACAGGAAACAAAGACAAATCAATCAATTAGAGTAATCAGTGGTATACCGTTCAAACAAAGACAACCACAATTCCAAAAGTGTACACACGACTAATAGAAAGAATGAACTGTTTTCATACTTTTTTCTTATGACAAAAATTTATAGCTTTAATGGTGATTTGACAAGCTGAGAAGTTCATTTTTGTACCTGTCGACTATCTCCTGCAGGTTAGCTCGCAGCACGATGACCAGCTCCTTGAAGGTGATCCACTTCTTCACGTACACGGGTACCTCCTCCTGGTACTTCTTGTTCTTGCTCTCCTCAGGCAGAGGAATGAACACCAGGGGTCCTTCCTCGATAATAGTCTGACAGAGGATGTGTAGGTGCTCCCCATCTTCAGTGGAGATATCCTAAAGACGAGCAAATTGGATAGAAATCATAGGATGAGGAAGACCACTCATTCAACCAAGATTAGCAATATGTGCCCCCTTTAAAATCATGGAGAAAACACAAGTCACATTATCAAATAAGAGCCTGCCCTCACCTCCAGCATCATGATTTTGGCAATCAGCTCTGAGATGGCAGTGTTGAGTAGAGTCCCCATGGCTTTACAGTATATGTTGACTGGTAGAACATCTTGCCAGACGGTGCCCAGCCTCTTCAGCTGATGGATGACCTGCAAATGAAACAAGTCATTTTCAGTGATGGAACAATGACCACATCCTGTAAGAATTGTATCTGTGCATTTGATACAAGCCAAGCATTTCTAACGTTTGATCTGAAGCTTAAAGGGATAGTTCAGCCAAAAGTTATGTTTGGGTCAATTTCCTCTTACCTTGAGTTGTCTTGTAGGCCAGTAGTGACAGGGTCCTCAATAATCTGTTGTTTACTTTTGCCACAGGCATGAGTTAGTATAATTAGCATTGTCCCAACAATTGATGGCCTCCTGCTATGCTAATCATGCTTCCTTCAAAATTTGACCAAAACATACATTTTCCCTTATCTATCCCTTTAACTGATGCTTAACTCACCATTTTAGAATGTCTGGCTGATAGTTGCCCTTTGAGACAACTTCTTTGAAAATACTGGAGCTCTAATGCAATATGTGGCTACAGTCATCATATAGACAATTGTAGATCTCTTTCAGCTATATTGCCAGTTCACTTGAACACTGACCTGCCTGACGGCCTTGCTGGCTGCGGAGTAGTTGTCCTCGTCATCCAGGTTGGAGAAGTTGTGTGCAGTGGAGAGACGCTCCAGCATCTCCGCTCTCTGGACGTTCAGCTGGGCCAGGAAGCACTGAGCGCCTGGGGAAACACACAGCAAGAGAGTCAGAGAGCTAGAAGTGTACATTCGCTTTTCATCCACATCGGAGTTGGGATGTCTATAGAACATGATTGACTCAAATCTCCCTGGTCTCATCATCCTTTTTGGAAAAAAAACAACAACAGTTCAACCACCACAAAAGCCCATCAAGAGTGTAGCCATGCTAATGCTAGGCAAGCCATGGGACACGCTCATTCCCTTACCCAGTTTCCTGAAGCCGGGCACCAGGTCCACGAAGGTGGCAGCGCCCTCGCTGAGGGGGTAGGGCAGGTGTGGCCTGAACTGATGGCCGAGGGTGAGCAGGTGGTGGGCGATGTACATGCAGTTGTTGTGCTGGATGGCTGCCAGGTGGGGGAACTTGAGCAGGTTCTCTCTGGAGAGCAGAGACACAGAGAGAAGTCAGTGAGACAGACACAGTCTCGGGGGGAAATGCTAATACTGAAATTCAGTATAAATAAACAGAATATACTCACTTATGGTATGTAGGCACAACATCATAGAATAGCTGGAATATATTCCGCACCGCGAAGAACAGTTGGGTAGCACTTCGAAGGACAAAAATGAGAAAGTGTCATCTTCGCAAAACAAAAAACTTTAGTGAAACACTGGGCTAAAGCTGAAGAGTTAATATTAAGTCATCATGTGCAGTGGGTAACATGGCACCGCGTAACATGAGAGCGTACCATTGGCTGGAGCTGCCCACGGCCTCGGACAGCGTGTGTAGGGCCAGCCCCATCAGCTCCTGCACCGACTCGCTGATGCGACACACAGGCAGGCACAGCGTCCGCGCACCCAGCTGCTTCTCGTTCTCCAACCTGGACGCCTCAAGCTTCTTGGCCTCCTGCTTGCCCTTGTTGTCTCCAGGGCTGGGCAGCTTGGGGACCGAGAGCTTAGAATCTGGTGTGATCTGTTGGCAGGAAGTGATGTTAGCAGTACAGTCAAGTACAACCTCTGTGCATTTACCTGCAGTGCAAGATGCAAAGCAGTTCACCTGTCCTAGTTGCGTTTATTTTCTCTGGGTATATGTATGTTCTGATTTAGTGCATGCATTCACATGTTGCAGTGGCAAGCAACCACATACTGTACATCAGGAGTCAACTGTGTGGCTATTGACTGTGTACGTAATAATTAGAAACCACACAGATAAGACCATGGATAGACTGTAGGAGAACATCACACTTTGACGGTGTTATGCATCTCAGAGGTCATCAGCTTGCGTGCCGCCACAATCACGTCTTTGCATTTCTTGCTGGCAAAGTGGCAGTTGATGTCCCGGGCGTACTTGAGCAGCTCGGTGGCGTCTCCTCTGAGGTACTGCATCTCCTTCAGGGATTTCTCAAACTCCTCCGTCTCTTTGATCACCTGGGGGTGAGAACATACAGGGTGGTATGAATGACAGAATGAAAAGTCTCCTTTCTAGCAGTATGTCTTTGCAGCAAATGTTCTTTACATAGTCTATATCAAGTTTTTAGTTCCAAAAATATAGGTATTTGTATTTCTTCGACAAAACCAACAGGCACAAACTGTATTGCTACAGCAATTCTGACCTTTTGCATGGCAATATGCGAAGATTTTGTCCAATTTGTCACAAATGTGCTGACAAAGGGAAAGAAAGTTTGTTGACGTGTGGCTTGATTGAACCATATTATGCAGTAAATGTGGAGATTGGTTGAAATAGCGAGCCCTCTTTTTGTACTGCGGTGATGGGTCATTTTTATGCAATAATATTGCGAGGATTTGACTATTTTATGCAGAAATAGTGTGGTGATTGGTCAAATTTACAAGCCCTTGCATAATATGCGGGGAATTGTTGATTTAGCAAAAAAAATAAAAGATCTCAGAATCCTGGAGGGACTGATAAGGGTGTATTTGGAGTACTTGGTTAGCCTTTGATACATACCACACTGTACTGTTCAAGCTGGCTGCTATTGGTTGGGATTGAGTACAGGAGGCACTCATGTATGATGCAGTGAGACATCTCCTGCCATACCAGGTCTCCCAGTATGAAAGACACTTTTCTCTCGCCAACTGATACGTCTGCAAAGCAAAACAAGAGAGACGTGTTGTTATAGTGCCAATGGCAATGCTCTAAAATGGCAGCTGGCATATTAACTCGTTTCATATTTGCTGTGACCAAAGGATATTTTTTGTTAAATTGAAACTCAATAATCCTTCTAAACAAGAGACTACGGGCCGGTTTCCCGGATGCAGAATAAGCCTAGTCTTGGACTAAAAAGCAAGACCAATGGAGAATCTCCATTGAAATACTGTAGCTTTTTAGTCTCGGACTAGGCTTAATCTGTGTGTGGGAAACCAGCGCTAAATGACCAACAAATAGGACTATTTGCAGTAGTGGCTACCTAGCAGGTGTGTGTGTAGGGTCTTGAGTACCACCAGGACTTTGGTGTAGACCTGGGAGGGGCTGGGGTGCTCCTCGGGGGTCTCGGCACACTGGAGAGAGAGTAGGGTGCCCTCGCCTTGCTGCTCCGACACCTCCACGTTCAGAGAGGGGTACATGATCAAGGGCTTCAGCAGGTACTTCAGCAGCACCTGGCCTAGAGTGGGGAGAGGCTGGCTGTCTCATGATGGACTAACAGGATGCTATGGAAGCAGCCTCACAGTGTATGTACAGAACAGAGAGGCAGTCCACATTATTAAAACTCAATAGTCAGACTAATACAAACAGAAAATAATCCTTATTCAAATAATAGGGGGGTATTTCACAAGGTGGTTTCAACGAGTTCAACTTCAATAAAATGTGGTCAGCTTTACAGTAAAAAAAAAAAAAAACATTGACTGGACACTGGGTCTTACTGAAGAGTTTTATCTTGTGTTGGAGTTCCCCCTGGATGGCCAGGGCCTGGAGGACACAGGAGAGCAGAGGGGGAGGGCTCTGCTGGGGCTCCTTGTTCCCGCCCAGGGTCAGCTGGAGCTCCATCTTCAGGAAAGACTTCATCCCTGTCGACTCTGAGGACAGATGGACACACAATCAGTGTCTGTGGTGGCATAACACGGTACCACTGTTCACCTGAGATAACATGAATCAAGTAGGGCTGGGAATTGCATGGGACCTCATGATACGATATTATCGCGATAGTTAGGTGCCGATATGATATGTGTTGCGATTCTCACGACTCATATGTATTGCGATTCGATACTGTGATTTTATTGCAATTCGATGTTCCAAACATATTGCCACCATATGTCTGCTGCACAGGGACAAGAGAGAGCCATGAGAAAACCTGTTTTGATCAGTCATGGAAATAAGTGATGAAACAAATTGGCTCCCTATTTAAAAAGAAGATGGAGAACAAGCTATGCAGGTACATCTAACTAGCACCAAATATTGGATATTGTCGAAACGATACTATATAATATCATTATAAATTATATCCAGACATGTAACTATCGATTCCCCCCCCCATATCACTAGAAGAGTGCAATTTACCACTGTAAGTAAAATAAAATAAACTTACCAAACATGTTTTAAATAATACATTTATATCAGAGGATTCCATGCTATACCCTTCTAAGTGTGGCTGATACCCCTAAGGCAACCTACTTATCCTCAATACAAGTGCCCTAGAATGGCTACTTACTAACACTTCATGGTCAATAAATTAAGCTGTGTACTTATGAGGCCAAGCATCAGACCAGGGTCTTTCCCCTCTCTACGATGCCTGGGAGAGTCTATTTACCTTTGGAAGGAGGCAGTTTCCAGACAGCCAGTCTCTTCCACTCATCCCCCAGATGGTAGATGAGGTTCTCTCTCTGGACAGTGAGCTCTGAGCTCAGGGCTCTCAGCAGGGGCAGCTCAGAGCCTTTCCACGCCTTCAGAGAGTCTGCACTGTGCCGGGCCTTTTCTAACTGCTTGGCCGAAATTACATACTTCTTCTCCAGTAGGGCTTTGTGAAACTCCTCCATTGCAATGTGAAACTAAATCGACAACAGAAAAACATGTAAATATGCGTTGACATTTACCAATATTATTGATGATCATCCCAAATTCGTGTCTCGGGCCAGGTACACAAGGACAGAACTCAAGCGCTAAATCTGTGCATTACTATAAATAACATTATTCAGTTTAAACAGGGCCATGTGTAGATATCAGTGGGGACCAGGTTAGGGCCACAGTGGGGAGGGATGTAGGCTACCTCTTCTAGGTGCCTGAGCATGGCAATGACAGTAGTGTTTCTCTCCAGCTGCTGCTTCAGCTTGGCATATTCAGTCACAGCTGTATGAAGATTATGCTGCACCTGTACACACACAGTCAATAGTAGGTCTCTGCCAACGGACAGTCAAATAACACCTCCAAAAACACAAGGCGAACCCATTGACCCATGAGTAGTTAGTGAAGCTTACCTCTGTCTCAATGCAGCTTTTGAGGACGTCAATTTCTTTAGAGACCTCCTCAGCCTGTCCCATAAGTGCCTCTGCCCCCTGCATACTGGGTAGGAACTCATTGTACCTCTTGTTGATAATGTCACATACCTCTTCCTATGGGATAAACGCAGATGGTGAGATTGAGGGAAATAATCAAAGTGTGAGGCAAAGACATTAAGCTATACAACATTGCATAAATATACCCCTGGTAAAAAGGGGTATCTTTTTTTCAATTCGGGCAGAGTACATGGGCACAACCATGACACGTCATTCAATACTGAACAGCAGTGTCTGGGTAGAATGGCCACGAGTGATCAAACGTTTTACAGTGTGCGAGAGTAACCTAGCTAACTTACCTACCAAGCTAGTTAGCTAGCTTCTAACTAAGCTAACTTGTTCAGAACGCGTTGCTAGACAATTTCTTAGCAAGAGGCTAGCGTAGCTAGCTAGGTACAGCTACTTCAAATAAAATTTTATTTGTCACATACACGTGTTTAGCAGATGTTATAGCGGGTGTAGCGAAATGCTTGTGCTTCTAGCTCCGACAGTGCAGTAATATCTAACCCTACTTCTGACATGATCCTTGCCTGTAATGTTATAGCTACAAGTTTGTAGCTAGCTAGTAACTTTAGTGTAGTCAACTAGACGTGTGTATCGTGAACAAGATTAGCGTAAGCAACAATAGTGGAATCGGTGGTTCGCTTTCAAAATAAAAGTCCTCTATTGAAACTGATGCAAACGGATGAAAATAGTAGAATCATGCAACAATTGGACTAAGTGTGTGGCTTGTTTTTATTGTCGGTCAATCATTGTGGTGCTACAGTCAGACTGTGTAGCAAGTGAAGTTGGAGATTTGTAGTCAATGGTAAATTGAATTAAGTTGGCTAAATGAGAAGGAGTAGGCTACAATGATCAACCAACAGGTAGGCTGTTATTTAATATGAATGGAGTTTTTGTAGACAAGGACGGGGAGTGCAGCAAAGTAGCCTCAATTAGCTAGCCTTGCTACGTTACCTACTTAGCTGGCTAATGAAGTTGCACGTAAGTGTAGACACGACCTTAGATCAACTATGCCAGCAACAAGTTTATCTAAGGCCGTGTCTACACTTGACACTTACATGCAACTGCTGCTATCAGAATACGAAGATCGCATTGATTGTGTTCAGATCTGGCTGACCACTTCAGGTGGTGGTCAGGGATGCATTGTTTGTGTGAGGATTTCTCCTCAGTCTGGACGCAATCAGGCTACCGAAAGCACATACAGTGGGCAGTGTCATCAGCACTCCTCCCACAAGTCTCCAGAAAACTTGTGTTTTGGGACCGAGAGGCACCTTTTCATTATAACGTTGGAGAAAATACGTTCCTAACGTGTGAGGAACGTGTTTGCTGGACACATAAATGGTAGCCAGCTAGCTAGAAAAACCCGTTTGCAATCCCTTTAGCGTTGCTTGCTGGCTAGCTACAGGGGTTAGTTGGCTACAGTAGTTAGCTACTGCCATCAGTTGTTGCTCTTATCATATTTTGCCTATTCCACCGTTTGTAGTATGAATTCTGGCATTTGAATATAGTGCGGGAAAAGGGAATCCGGACACACCGTGGACACGGTAGACATTTAATTATACAAATAGGTGGGTCTAATCCTGAATGCTGATTGGTTAAAACCGCATTCCAGCCAGTGTCTATTCCACAAATTGCCGCGGGCTAAATCTTTGACATTAAAATGCCTATTTAAGCTGTTCAATTGGACAGCGCAGTCCACTGTCTCATCAGCCCAGCCAGGCAATTTATAAAATGGATCTCCACTATAAAAAGCATCTAGACATTATCTACCATTTCTAACATTTAGTTTTCAACCGCAGAGATTTGTATACACCTTGCTGTCTGTCTCTCTGAAATTTGCAACATTGTTTCAATATTTAAATTCGATCTTCTGCTGTCCCATAGTAATGAACGTGTCGGGACGAGACAGGCAGGCTGCGTTTCTCAGCCAGTCGAAATCATGAATCAGCTGGCATCATTGTTATGGATATATACAGAAAAAAGGTAAAACGAAACACAGCTAATTTGCAGTCTTTCCAGCTTCAGTTTGAAGTGATTGTGTTACTGTAGCTGTGTTGTTGGCTAGCTCCTCTGAACAAGTGTCCTGATGCGTGAGCACATTTTCTATGCCAGGTGAAATCGTGCCTCATTAGCTCATTGTTATGGATGTATCCAAATAAATGTCACTAGAAAACAGCTTAAACAAATGCAAATGAAGGTACTTTGCTGTTATTCTGGCAGCACTTTTTGACGTGACTGTAAATTAGCCGTAGTTGGCTAGCTAGCAAGCAAGGGATAAGAACGTTGCCAGCTAGTATGGCAATGGAACATTTAGAACGAATGACTGGGTCGCGTCTATAGATACAGAACAAAAAGACTGAACGACTGGGTCGCGTCTAGCAACCCTAGATGTGTTGGGACAATATCTTGTGGAATGATTAAATAGTATGAATAAATTAATCAAAATAACGTTAATTAAAATATGTCAATCATTATTTGAATATGTTGGTAACCCGTTTTATAAAAGTGATAATGCCCTCGAAGCCAGTGTTTGGAGGATATATTGGCACGGTTTGCCGGCACTCGACTTCCTCTCGGGCCTAACAACACCCGTACCAATATATCCTCCAAACACAGACTTCAAATCAAATTTTATTTGTCACATACTTATTTCCCTCATTAAAATGCAAATACATTTATAACATTTTTGACATGCGTTTTCCTGGATTTTTGTTGTTGTTATTCTGTCTCTCACTGTTCAAATAAACCTACCATTAAAATTATAGACTGATCATGTCTTTGTCAGTGGGCAAACGTACAAAATCAGCAGGGGATCAAATACTTTTTTTCCCTCACTGTATATACAGTGCTGTGAAAAAGTATTTGCCCCCTTTCTAATTTTCTCTACTTTTGCATATTTGTGATACTGAATGTTATCAGATCTTCAACCAAAACCTAATATTAGATAAAGGGAACATAAGTGGACAAATAACACAACAATTACATATTTATTTCATAAACAAAGTTATGCAACACCCAATTCCCCTGTGTGAAAAAGTAATTGCCCCCTTACACTCAATAACTGGTTGTGCCACCTTTAGCTGCAATGACTCCAACCAAATGCTTCCTGTAGTTGTTGATCAGTCTCTCACGTCGCTGTGGAGGAACTTTGGCCCACTCTTCCATGCAGAACTGCTTTAACTCAGTGACGTGTGGGTTTTCAAGCATGAACTGCTCGTTTCAAGTCCTGCCACAACATCTTAATTGGGATTAGGTCTGGACTGTGACTAGGCCATTCCAAAACTTCCAATTTGTTGCTTTTTAGCAATTTTCATGTAGACTTGATTGTGTGTTTTGGATCATTGTCTTGCTGCATGACCCAGCTGCGCTTCAGCTTCAGCTCTCAGACGGATGGTCTGACATTCTCCTGTAGAATTCTCTGATACAGAGCAGAATTCATGGTTCCTTCTATTAAGGCAAGTCGTCCAGGTCCTGAGGCAGCAAAGCATCCCCAAACCATCACACCACCACCACCATGCTTGACCTTTGGTATGATGTTCTTACTGTGGAATGCAGTGTTTGGTTTTCGCCAGGCATAAATGGGACCCATCTCGTCCAAAAAGTTGACTCAAGTTTGCCAAAAAGTACCTGGATGATCATCAAGACTCTTGGAAGAACGTTCTATGGACAGATGATTCAAAAGTATAACTTTTTGGATGACATGGTTCCAGTAATGCCAGGTCAATCACCCTCGGTTTTGGGCTCCATGCAAGATCTCACCTCGTGGGGCATCAATGATCATGAGGAAGGTGAGGGATCAGCCCAGAACTACACGGCAGGACCTGGTCAATGACCTGAAGAGAGCTGGGACCACAGTCTCAAAGAAAACCATTAGTAACACACTACGCCGTCATGGATTAAAATCCTGCAGCGCACGCAAGGTCCCCCTGCTCAAGCCAGCGCATGTCCAGGCCCGTCTGAAGTTTGCCAATGACCATCTGGATGATCCAGAGGAGGAATGGGAGAAGGTCATGTGGTCTGATGAGACAAAAATAGAGCTTTTTGGTCTAAACTCCACTCGCCGTGTTTGGAGGAAGAAGAAGGATGAGTACAACCCCAAGAACACCATCCCAACCGTGAAGCATGGAGGTGGAAACATCAGTCTTTGGGGAGGCTTTTCTGCAAAGGGGACAGGACGACTGCACCGTATTGAGGGGAGGATGGATGGGGCCATGTATCGCGAGATCTTGGCCAACAACCTCCTTCCCTCAGTAAGAGCATTGAAGATGGGTCGTGGCTGGGTCTTCCAGCATGACAACGACCCGAAACACACAGCCAGGGCAACTAAGGAGTGGCTCCGTAAGAAGCATCACAAGGTCCTGGAGTGGCCTAGCCAGTCTCCAGACCTGAACCCAATAGAAAATGTTGGGAGGGAGCTGAAAGTCCGTATTGCCCAGCGACAGCCCCGAAACCTGAAGGATCTGGAGAAGGTCTGTATGCAGGAGTGGGCCAAAATCCCTGCTGCAGTGTGTACAAACCTGGTCAAGACCTACAGGAAACGTATGATCTCTGTAATTGCAAACAAAGGTTTCTGTACCAAATATTAAGTTCTGCTTTTCTGATGTATCAAATACTTATGTCATGCAATAAAATGCAAATTAATTACTTAAATCATACAAAGTGATTTTCTGGATTTTTGTTTTAGATACCGTCTCTCACAGTTGAAGTGTACCTATGATAAACAATTACAGACCTCTACATGCTTTGTAAGTAGGAAAACTTGCAAAATCGGCAGTGTATCAAATACTTGTTCTCCCCACTGTGTGTGTGTATATATATATAGACCTAGCCCCGTCCCGTCACTCAAGGAGCACATTTGTTGTTGCTTGACCAGGAGACACTTGCATTCGATCTGCATGGTCAATGCAGCACATGCAACAATGTTTATGACAACAATGTTAATTTCCACTTTGCTTCTTAATATAAATCCACAAGTGTTCTACAATTACACTATTAGTTTGTGTTTCTTACATCTGAAAACAGCTAGTTTGTATTTTCTTAGCAAGTTTGAGCTAAATCATGTTAGCCTCTAATGCTAATAGATAGTTAGCTGGCTAGCTAATAAATGTACCGAGTCAGAGCAAACGTAGCTCGCTAATACAGCCTGATACCAGTGCTGGTTTAGGCCTAAATCAGCATGTTTGTGCAACAGTATCTTCTACATCAAAGAGGAATAGGCGAAGCATGAATATATTGGCTACATGAAGAAACATTTAATGTAGCCAAAGAATATAGGGTCCCCTAGGAAATACTGACCATCACTTTGGTTCCTACCCTGTCACAATAACTCCTCCCTGGCTTTGTCATTGGTTGTCATGTCACTGTATTCGAAGTGCCCACTATTATTTATATTCTAACTGTAGAATTAGAATAAACATTCTATTTCCAGGATTCCAACAGTTCCAAGTGTTTTGATCTAAATCGCAATTGCAACATTTGGTTATAAATAAGGCAAATTTCCCCATATCGTGCAGCCCTATATGGCAGTGTGGAAATTATCTCAAATGAGTGCAGGAAAAAATTTTTGGTTGAAGTTGAATTGAACAGTATAAAACAAATCAGAATGGAGAAAGGCCCACTGAAATCACTCAGAATGTATATGTTGCCAGACTAGGGTCACCCACTACTCAAAGAAAATGTCGAACTTTTATTATACAAAAACATAAAATACTGTAAAATACCATCATACTGTCAAAAATTTGAAAAATACTGTGATATGATATTTTGGTCATATCGCCCAGCCCTATTAGCAGCTATGAAACAAAACAGCAGAAATACTTTGAAAACAGCTACTGCAGCATTTTTCTGACCCCAACTCGCTCATGTGCTCATACTTGACTTTTGACTATCATTTTTTGCGAATGTAATACTCTAACCGTAGAGCCCTCTAAATTAACCACCTGCCAGCGTGGCTGGTTAAATATACATTTTTACAGGCCAATACCTAAATCTACCCACATTTGGCAGGTGTTAATTTTATGCCACGTTAACTAGCGTTTGCAACGTTGGGTGGTCAATAAGACAGAGCTAGCAAACAATGTCACAAAAGTATAATTTCGGATTTGAAAAACACTCCAACAGGCTCTGCATTTCAGGAATCACAGTAGCAAATACCCCTGGTGCATTGTTCAATAATTTAGCCATTTAAACAATTTGTTTTTGGATGAAAACAGTTTTTTGTATGGCTTTCATGTGTTTCAAACATGAGCTTGTCCGAGGTGTGATTCCTTGACTCCTTGCCCGTCGACTCCCATTTCTGGGTGTCAAGCCTCGATTCCTCTAGGAATCGACTCCTCGACTCCTAAGATTCTGTATTTTTGCAACGGAGGAAACTAGTTGCCGTAATCTACTTCGAGAACAAAACTCTTGCATCTTTCACAGCAAAGAAAGAGCGAGCTAGCGAGGGAGATAGAGAGATGGGAGGGGCACAGCCAGTCATAGGTAGGCATGTCAGCCACCAGGCAAAAGATGTAGGCTATAGCAATGCTGTATTTCGCAATTTCTTGGCTTGCAATGTCTCGCGCAAGTTCACTAAAGTAGGGGTTATCAATGAATAGGCTGAGCTATTCTACACACAACAGAAGGAAGACCAAACACACAATAGCGTTTTTCAAAAGTGAAGAGAGAGCAGGCTGGATCGGGGCAGGCTGACAGACAGTCGGAACCGTGCGCATAGGCTATAACTTGGTAATCTGTGTCTCGCAGTGTAGCAATGCCTCTTAAATTCACCAAAGTACAGTATATTAAAGTATATAGGCTATCAATGACTATGGCTAAGCTATTCTTCATAGTGCCAGTAAATGTAAGTTGAACATCGACAAATGCATCATGTGCAATAAAAAGTTGTGCCTATAGCTTATTTCCCGAGTGGCGCAGTGGTCTAAGGCACTGCATCGCAGTGCTAGCTGTGCCACTAGAGATCCTGGTTCGAATCCAGGTTCTGTCGTAGCCGGCCGCGACCGGGAGACCCATGGGGCGGCGCGCAATTGGCCCAGCGTCGTCCAGGGTAGGGGAGGGAATGGCCGGCAGGGATGTAGCTCAGTTGATAGAGCATGGCGTTTGCAACGCCAGGGTTGTGGGTTTGATTCCCACAGGGGGTACGAAAAAAAAATAAAAAATGTATGCACTAACTGTAAGTCGCTCTGGATAAGAGCGTCTGCTAAATGACTAAAATGTAAATGTAAATGTTATTTAATGAAACCCTGGCTGGCTGTTGATGTCCTATGTCAGGGTTCTCCAACCCTGTTCCTTCAGAGCTACCTTCCTGTAGGTTTTCGCTCCAACCCCAGATGTAACTAACCAGATTCAGCTTATCAACCAGCTAATTATTTAATCAGATGTGCTAGATTAGGGTTGGAGTGAAAACCTACATGATGGTAGCTCTCCACTAAGAGTTGGAGAGCCCTGTCATAGGCAAATGGTCAAAGCAGGGCATCCCCGCTAAACTTTTTAGAAATGACAAGTTCACTTTCTCATCCATAAATGCATCTCAAGTGCAAATATGGTTCAGCAGCATTGTTATTAGGAAGGACCTCTACCATGGATAGCTAAAATAATGATTATGATCACACTTCATCAATTAAAATATTATGGGGACACCTATACATTTGGCAGCCAAACACGAGTTATCAGTGTAGTCTAGACATTACATTTATTTTGAAAAAAGTAAGAATGACAGGGGGCAGTTTGGAAAAACTAATTCTGTGTGAATCGTTCTCTGGAATAACACACATACTTGGATAACAAATACACCGTCTCTAGTAATAGCCTACCCATCCGAATCGGGCTATAACATGGCAAAGAATAGGCTTATCAGTGTAGAGTGAGCCACATCATCCCATGGGATCCGTTAAGGCTGCACACAGCAGACATATTCTAGTTCCTACACATCACCTATATTCAAACAAAATAGGCCTTTTATAGGCTAAGTTGATGAGCAAATGGGCAGCATCATGCTCATGTCAGTCCACTAGAACGCAAACGTAGTCTTCCTAGTAGGATTGTGCAATAATGAGGGTGTGTACGCATCCATGTGGTCCTCTATAGCTCAGCTGGTAGAGCACGGCGCTTGTAACGCCAAGGTAGTGGGTTCGATCCCCGGGACCACCCATACACAAAAATGTATGCACGCATGACTGTAAGTCGCTTTGGATAAAAGCGTCTGCGAAATGGCATATTATTTTTTTTATTTCAGCGTGTTTTGGGAGTCGAGCAAGAGTCGACTCCAACCACAGGAGTCGGAGTCGACTGCAAAAATCCAGGAATCGTGCACGACTAACGAGGTGTTGGTCTGGACGACATCTGCTATCCATTGCAGCGCTGCGATTGGTTGCCAAATATTCTGGGGCGGGGCTTAGCGAAGGGTCAATTGTGGCATGATTCGATTATTTTTATCCGTTTCAATGGGGGACTTTTATTTTGAAGACACACCGCCGATTCCAGAATTTCCATTATTTTACTCGCGCAAATTTTGTTCACCACACAATGGGACACCTAGCTGCCACCACACAACTCAAAGGCTGCCACAAACAAAGCTGTGGCTTTGGCATCTAGCTAACGACAGTCAATCGGGGTAGTTAGTTAGATGAGGCTAACTAGCATAGCAAGACTGATTAGAACGATAAAACCAAATATTTTATTAACGGGTTCGAACGATAAAATCACGTTATATAAAATTAGCTAGATGGCTTTGTGATTAAAGTTAGCCGAATGTTTTGATTATTTCGCGGGCTAGGTAACGTTAGCTAAGTTAGGCAACGCTAACTCGCTTGCTTACCTTTGTTTCTTCTACTTTCCGTGACAGCTTGCTTATTTTACCAGTGAGATCTTCTTTTTCAAGTTTACCAGAACTAGCAAGGACTTCTGTCACGAAAGATGCCATTTTTGGAGAACAGCTGGCTAGCTAGCATCAAAATCCTTCAGGGGCTGTGTGCAGGCTGAAGAAGCCCGCTCACAATAACCAATCAAAAATCAGCGTTATACTTCTTCTTCTGTGGGTTTTATGGCGGACTACATCCAAAAGTTGTATTGCCGCCACCAACTGGACGGTTTGAAACCACAAAATATATAAAATAATAAATTACGTTTACATTTTAGTCATTTAGCAGACGCTCTTATCCAGAGCAACTTACAGTTAGTGAGTGCATACATTTTCAAATAATTTCATACTTAAGTGATACTTACTCCACCCTAATAAAAATAGTACATTGCCAAAACAAACAAAACTCCCATATAATAATAATAATAATAATATGCCATTTAGCAGACGCTTTTATCCAAAGCGACTTACAGTCATGCGTGCATAAATTTTTGTGTATGGGTGGTCCCGGGGATCGAACCCACTACCTTGGCGTTACAAGCGCCGTGCTCTACCAGCTGAGCTACAGAGGACCACGGTGGTGGCCATATCTCCCTTCTCAGGCTCTAGGCCCTGAGAGAGTGATTGGGCTTTTGACAATATTCCATGTAACTCTTTTGCCGAGAAATCTTTCAGCTCCAGGAACCGTTCCGCCACAACCACAATGATTTCTATCTTCCTAGATATTTTTTCCACCTTGGCAGTGCCATTAATCACCATTGCGATAAAGGTCACAAAGTCACCTTTTTAACTTTTAAAATGTCATAATCATCTTGCTAAAAGGCAACCCCTGCAGCTTGCATTAAAGGCCTAGCCACCACCATGGACTCTTCAGGAGCACCATTCAAACCCTCAACCCTTTTAACCGCTGCTGCATAGGAAATGCTCTGTACAACCCTAACTTTGGCCACCTTATTTTCTTTCACCCTTGTCGGTCATTCAAAAGACGTGGCTTCATGGTTCCCACCACAATTGCAACATTTCACTTTTTCATCACTTTTATAACACAAATTATATTTTCCACAACTTGGATATCTCGGTTTCTCCCTTCTGCAAACCCTTGACACATGACCAAAAGCTTTACAGTGATCACACTACATTGGTCTTGGGATTAATGCTCTGACTTTGTAGTTTATATACCCCAACTGCACTTGATTAGGGAATTAAGAGAAGCAATAAAAAAAGCAATACTGAACAATACCATGGTCCATAGCATGGCAAGTTACTGTATGTACAGTAACATCATGGGATTGTTTAGTTGTTTTACCTGTGGACAGGTTAGAAACCTGATAAGACACGAGATAGCCCAACAAATAATGTTGCTATGTGCAACAAAAATGGGAAATTGACTGGCAGCTGGAGGGCTGCTGGTCTGATGCCAGGAATGAATCACTACTGTAGTGCCCTTGAGCAAGGCAAAATGGCTCTCCATCCAGGGGCCATCTCCAAGGCAAATGGCTCACCATCCAGGGGCCATCTCCAAGGCAAATGGCTCACCATCCAGGGGTGCTGCACAACGACTGACCCTGTACCTCTCAACTGTGTATGTCTGGATTGGGAGTGTTGGAGAAAAAGCCAGAAGACGACTTTACAGTATGTTCGAATCAAATGGACAATAAATGATCTATTCTACTCTCTTCTATTGATAAATCAGCAACTACACTAGATAATTGGAGTAGAGTTGTACTCTGTCAAGGGGAGGGCCATTTATGTGATAAAATCAGTGTTTGGCGTATTTCACAACTTTTTATTGGATATACAGAGGGGGAACCTATAATAAATTATAAATCATGATTCCCTTTATGTGAAAGGACAAAAATCCAAGTTTAATGTGTCAAAATGTCAAAAGGCAACCATATTTGAAAACTCTGGGGGAGGACACTTTTCAAGGCACTGTATAGGACTGATATGTGTAATACATTTGCATCAGGAATAGAGTAAATATAACATAGAAACAGCTTAACGACGCTGACATCCTTCAAATGTATCCAATTTTGAATCATAATGGCCGTATCACTACATCATCATGCATTCATGATCACCATGAAAATACATGTGACTACAAATAAGGAACACAATATTTGTGGCGTACTTAGCACATTGTGATTTAAAACAAACAGACTGAAGATGTAAAAACCTTTCAAAACAACAACAAAACTCCTGACAAAAACAAGAGGGGAGCAGGAGCAACACCTACAGTGATTGGCTCCATTATTATATTATTTGGGAGGTAGCAGTTAACACATTTATCCATAATCCAACTACAACTATCCATGATAAACAATAAACTAGACACAGATAAACAAACAGTATTGTAATCTAACAAAGCATAGAGTCATGGCTGCATACTCATTACTACACTTAACCAGGATTGGATAACGTCTTTGTAAATCACCCACATGAATACTGTCACTGTCAACATAGTTCAAACTCTGGTTAAGGGTGTACAGTGCATTCGCAAAGTATTCAGACCCCTTCCCTTTTTCCACATTTTGTTACATTATAGCCTTATTCTAAAATGGATCAAATAAAAATCCTCATCAATCTACACACAATACCACATAATGACAGAGTGAAAACAGGTTTTTAGAAATGTTTGCAAATGTATTAAAAACACAACTCAGAAATACCTTATTTACATAAGTATTCAGACCCTTTGCTATGAGACTTGAAATGGAGCTCAGGTGCATCCTGTTTCCATTGATCATCCTTGAGATGTTTCTACAACTTGATTGGAGTCCACCTGTGGTAAATTCAATTGATTGGACATGATTTGGAAAGGCACATACCTGGCTATATAAGGTCCCACAGTTGACAGTGCAATTCAGAGCAAAAACCAAGCCATGAGGTCAAAGGAATTGTCCGTAGAGCTCTGAGACAGGATTGTGTCGAAGACACAGTGGCTTCCATCATTCTTAAATGGAAGAAGTTTGGAACCACCAAGACTCTTCCTAGAGCTGGCCGCCCGGCCAAACTGAGCAATCGGGGGAGAAGGGCCTTGAACCCAATGGTCACTCTGACAGAGCTCCAGAGTTCATCTGTGGAGATGGGAGAACCTTCCAGAAGGACAACCATCTCTGTAGCACTCCACCAATCAGGCCTTGATGGTACAGTGGCCAGACGGAAGCCACTCCTCAGTAAAAGGCACATGACAGCCCGCTTGGGGTTTGCGAAAAGATTCTCTGGTCTGATGAAACCAAGATTGAACTCTTTGGCCTGAATGCCAAGCGTCACATCTGGAGGGAGCCTGGCACCATCCCTACGGTGAAGCATGGTGGTGGCAGCATCATGCTGTGGGGATGTTTTTCAGCAGCAGGGACTGGGAGAGTAGTCAGGATCGAGGGAAAGATGATCAGAGCAAAGTACAGAGAGACCCTTGATGAAAACCTGCTCCAGAGCGCTCAGGACCTCAGACTGGGGCAAAGGTTCACCTTCCAACAGGACAATGACCCTAAGCACACAGCCAAGACAATGCAGGAGTGGCTTCGGGACAAGTCTCTGAATGTCCAGACAGAGCACAGACTTGAACCCGATCAAAAATCTCTGGAGAAACCTGAAAATAGCTGTGTAGTGACGCTCCCCATCCAACCTGACAGAGCTTGAGAGGATCTGCAGAGAAGAATAGGAGAAACTCCCCAAATACAGGTGTGCCAAGCTTGTAGCGTCATACCCAAGAAGACTCTATGCTGTAATCGCTGCCAAAGGTGCTTCAACAAAGTACTGAATAAAGGGTCTGAATACTTATGTAAATGTAATATCCGTTTTTTATTTGTAATATATTTACAAAAAAATCTAAAAACCTGTTTTTGCTTTGTCATTATGGGGTATTGTGTGTAGATTGATGAGATTTTGTATATTTATTTATCCATTTTAGAATAAGGCTGTAATGTAACAAAATGTGGAAAAAGTCAAGGGGTCTGAATACTTTCCGAATGCACTGTAGATTAGCATGCTAACTCTAACTCTTGAAGAATGTTTGTCCACAATATTAGAGAACAGGAAAGTTCATCTTAGGGAGGAAAACATAGGCATTCACAAGATGTATTGGCCTTGAAATTCCATTAATAGAAGGGCTGTTTGCGGAGTGTGAATAGTACAATCCTCTGATCTAAAAGAGGACCTCTTCTTCTTTTTCATCACTCTTCTCTTTAGCACTAAGGGTGAGGGTATGTACTGGGAAGGTTTTGTCAAATGCACCATGGTCCACCCGGTAAGACCCCTTTTCCAGAGACATGCAGGATTCAAATCGGTGGCCCCACAGAATCTCGTCCTCAGTATAGGAGGTTCTGGCTTGGCATGTCATACCTACAACACAAAGGAGACAGCACATCAAGGCAATTATGAAACGTTTAATCTTTACACATCTAGCTCTTATGTTACAGTCACAGACATGAAGGCATTAAAACTTGTTCAAATTAATTTAGATATCACATTCTAACATTCAAAGCAAACCAACCTGATGCCTCCACTATTCCCTCCAGAATTATGATGATCTCAAATCTCTCTCTTGTCAGACGCTCAGCCCCTATTTCCCAGAAGGGACTGCTCTCATTGATGACATGGGTGATGGTCTGAGGCTCGACTAACAGAAGCCTGTCTCCTCCAGTATCGTAGCCCAGGTTGATCTCTGACTGCTCCAGCGGTATGAACTCCCCTTCCTTGGTCTGTCTGGACTTGATCAGCTTGGCTCGAATCTTGGCGTCCACCATGTGACTCGCCCTCAGGTCTCCAATGCGGAAGAGAAGGCAGAGTTTCTCGTCACGCTCCGATATGACACAGTGCTTGCTGAAGATCAGAGTCTGGGCCCTTTTCTGAGGCCTGGACATTTTGACGAACATGCAGCCGACCATGAGGGCGTCAATGATGGAGCCAATGATAGACTGGGCCATAAGGAGAACCACACCTTCCATGCAGTTGGCTGTCACCAATCTGGAGCCGTAGCCAATGGTCCTCTGGCTCTCCACCGACAGAAGCAGGGCGGAGATGAAACTGTCCACGTTCTCGAAGCAAGGCTGCCATTGCGGGTCGTGGACGTGGGCCACGTCATCCCGCAGCCAGGCGTCTAGGAAGTAGATCTCTGCGAAGGCCACCCACGTAACAATGTAGCACATGGTAAAGACAAAGAGGAACCAGCGGTACTTCAGGTCCACCAGAGTGGTGAAGATGTCAGAGAGGAAACGGCTCTTGTCCTCGATGGGGCCCAGGTTCACCTGGCACTTCCCGTCTTTGGTGACGTAGCGTTGACGCTGCTTGTTGGCGGTACCGTAATTTGGCCTCTCTTCACCTAGAAGTTTGCAGCGCGGCTTGTTCTCACCACTTGTGCCGTGGTTGCGGCTACGGGTGCTACCAAAGGGGCCTCCAAAAGGAGCGCCTGAGTACCACCTGGAGCTGAAGCGCTTGAGGTGGCGTCTGCGGTGAGCGTGGTGAGGAGTGGGAGGCTCCTCTGGCTCCTCAGTGGGAATGATGTACTGGCAGGTGTCTACCTCCTGGCTGATCAATCCTGCAACAACCCTTTGGGGGGCTGGGCTCTTGGGATGTGACTGGGGGGATGCAGAGCGAGCTGGCTGGGGTGGGAGAGCTGGGAAGTTGTCATAGTTGTTATCTGAGCTGGGGAAGAGAGAGACTCTTCTGGACTGGAGCATCATCACGGCCATGTTGGTTTTTGCTGCAACCTGAATTTTTAAAATTATAACAATCAATTGACTTAATCGTACATTACATACATGATCTACAATGTATTTGTGCTGAAAACAGTGTCCAATGTAAACACAACCCACTGAACAATATCCCAAAACACAAATGAACAAAATGTACTCTCTGCAATAGGTACCTTCTTTGGATATGGGGTGAAGCGCGTTGACTCTGGGGGTGGTCTAGGGAGGTATGCCAGGAGATGTTTGGCTGTGAGAGTCTTTGCTGGGGGAATCGAGTTCCTGCGAGGGTCAATTCTCATAGGACTCCTGTAGTCTCCGTTATGGGGCTCGTGTAATGTCACCCTGCTGCACATCATGGTGGAAACCATCACAGAGACTATTGTAGATTCCTGTGCTCTGTGTGGCAGCTGAGCTGCCGATGGCTCAGGAAGTTGATTTCGTGTTCCTGTTGAAGCAATAGAATCTGATTGAGAGGTGTCACACAATTAACAACCACCACTACAGAGGAAAGAGGAGACTAAATAAAACTCTTCCACCAAGTAATACTGGTTGAACTTACCTCCTTCTGTCCTGATAATTGACAGTCATACACTGCATGTCAAAATTGAGGGATTGCTAGAAGGCTAAATCCAGCAGTGGGTTAGTGGGTGTATGACAGATCTCTGATACGGAGGGACTTCTTTCACCAGACGGTTCCCTCTCCCTCAGTATAATTTCTTACAAGATTCCTCCCCCTCTCCCCCCCACCCGATGAACTTTCAGATCATTCTAATGTGACGTACGTTGTGTGATACCATCAGTCTCTGCTGGATCTAATTAAACATCCAGGATTATGACTGATCCCTTTAAATTAATCTTGGAACAACCAAGCAGCATGGTGATGGATTTGAGGAGATTACGGTCTTACTCTTAGTTACGAGGGCTTAGATAATTGTTTTTCCCAGATGTGGTCAAATACACCCTGGGCAAGTCTCTTATTTCTTGTGGTCACTGTTATTGTTTGTGTTGTCACTCGCTCCCCTACTGGACCGCCAAACAGCTCGTAGCAGCAGACGTGCAGCACTGCGTGCAGGATTTTGGAACACGTCAATATCAACTCTGTGTGACTCCAGAGTGCAGTAGACCATGAACTGCCCAAGGCATTGTAATCAACAGCGCTATTTAAGGCTTGCACTCCAAATGATGTAGAGGAAAATCTAGAGATTTATAATAAAACCTTATCTGTAGAATAGTTGAGATGCTACATTTATGATGTGTTGCTAATGTTGAACAACATCTTCTTCATAAATGTGTTGATTTTACACGGATGGGGCTTCACCAATTCTGAGATGTGTAGCCCATTACTAACAGTTACATAATAATGTTTTTTTTTTAAATCACTCTTGCTTTTCTCAGTTGTAACCTCACAACAACATCCATCTAACCAGACCAACACCAGAAGAAATGAGCTAGAACAACCAGGGAACCTATACAAACACAAACAGAGCAGGAAAGTAGAGGATGGAGGTACGTACGTCTGTACATTAAGGAGAGTCATCATAACTAACTGCCAAAAGAAAGAAAGAAACTAAACCATACCTGAATAGAGATACCAGTAGTTGTTCTCAGTTTCAGATAATCTTCCACTGGAGATATAACGAGCAGCTATAAAAAAAAAAGAAGAAAAAAAAAAGAAAGCGGGATAGCTTTTTGAGTGGTAAAGCTGGTGCTGTGGTGCCTCTCCGGTGATGTCAGGGCGAACTGGCAGGGCGCCTGCTGTCCAGCTGCGGACAAAGGCCCCCCCCCTCGCCGTCCCCCCAGCCCCCTGCCATTGGTCTGATCACACAAGGAGGTCAGCTGTTAATCTGCTCGTGAGGTCAGCAGGGCTGGCGAGCTGTGCAGCCAGGAAGTAGTGCGACACCATGGGAAGTGAGAAATAAACTAACACAATGTACAGTGCATTCGGAAAGTATTCAGACCCCTTGACTTTTTCCACATTTTGTTACGTTACAGCCTTATTCTAAAATTGATTAAATTATTTTTGTTGCCCTCATCAATCTACACACAATACCCCATAATGACAAAGCGAAAACAGGTTTTTAGAAATATATTAAAAATAAAAAACAGAAATACCTTACTTACATAAGTATTCAGACCCTTTGCTATGAGACTCGAAATTGAGCTCAGGTGCATCCTGTTTCCATTGATGATCCTTGAGATGTTTCTACAACTTGATTAGAGTCCACCTGTGGTAAATTCAATTGATTGGACATGATTTGGAAAGGCACACACCTGTCTATATAAGGTCCCACAGTTGACAGTGCATGTCAGAGCAAAAACCAAGCCATGAGGTCGAAGGAATTGCCCGTAGAGCTCCGAGACAGGATTGTGTCGAGGCACAGATCTGGGGAAAGGTACCAACAGATGTCTGCAGCATTGAAGGTCCCCAAGAACACAGTCGCCTCAATCATTCTTAAATGGAAGAAGTTTGGAACCACCAAGACTCTTCCCAGAGCTGGCTGCCCAGCCAAACTGAGCAATCGGGGGAGAAGGACCTTGGTCAGGGAGGTCACCAAGAACCTGATGGTAACTGACAGATCTCCAGAGTTCCTCTGTGGAGATGGGAGAACCTTCCAGAAGGACAACCATCTCTGCAGCACTCCACCAATCAGGCCTTTATGGTAGAGTGTCCATACGGAAGCCACTCCTAAGTAAAAGGTACGACAGCCCACTTGGAGTTCGCCAAAAGGCACCTAAAGGACTCTCAGGCCATGAGAAACAAGATTCTCTGGTCTGATGAAACTAAGATTGAACTCTTTGGCCTGAATGCCAAGCGTAATATCTGGAGGGAGCCTGGCACCATCCCTACGGTGAAGCATGGTGGTAGCAGCATCATGCTGTGGGGATGTTTTTCAGCAGCAGGGACTGCTAGAGGAGTCAGGATCGAGGGAAAGATGATCGGAACAAAGTACAGAGATATCCTTGATGAAAACCGGCTCCAGAGCACTCAGGACCTCAGACTGGGGGCGAAGGTTCACCTTCCAACAGGACAACGACCCTAAGCACACAGCCAAGACAACGCAGGAGTGGCTTCGGAACAAGTCTCTGAATGTCCTTGAGTGGCCCAGACAGAGCCTGAACTTGAACCCGATCGAACGTCTCTGGCGTTCCTCATGGTTCTGTTTTAGGACCACTATTGTTTTCACTATATATTATACCTCCTGGTGATGTCATTCGGAAACACAAAGTCAACTTTCACTGCTATGCTGATGACACACAGCTGTACATTTCGATGAAACATGGTGAAGCCCCAAAATTGCCTACCCTGGAAGCCTGTGTTTCAGACATAAGGAAGTGGATGGCGGCAAATGTTTTACTTTTAAACTCGGACAAAACAGAGATGCTAGTTCTAGGTCCCAATAAACAAAGAGATCTGCTGTTGGATCTGACAATTAATCTTGATGGCTATACAGTTGTCTGAAATAAAACTGTGAAGGACCTCGGCGTTACTCTGGACCCTGATCTCTCTTTTGACGAACATATCAAGAATATTTCAAGGACAGATTTTTTTTCAGAAACCTTTTGTCCAAAAATTATGCAGAAAAGCTAATCCATGCTTTAGTCCCTTCTAGATTAGACTACTGCAATGCTCTACTCTCCAGCTACCCGGATAAAGCACTAAATAAACTTCAGTTAGTGCCAAACACGGCTGCTAGAATCCTGACTAGAACCAACAAATTTGATCATATTACTCCAGTGCTCTCTACATTAGCTTCCTGTTAAGGCTATGGCTGATTTCAAGGTTTTACTGGTAACCTATAAAGCATTACATGGGCTTGCTCCTACTTATCTCTCCAATTTGGTCCTGCCGTACATACCTACACGTACGCTATGGTCACAAGACGCAGGCCTCCTTATTGTGCCTAGAATTTCTAAGCAAACAGCTGGAGGCAGGGCTTTCTCTTATTGAGCTCCATTTTTATGGAATGGTCTGGCTATCCATGTGAGAGATGCAGACTCGGTCTCGACCTTTAAGTATTTACTGAAGACTCATCTCTTCAGTAGGTCCTATGATTGAGTGTAGTCTGGCCCAGGGGTGCGAAGGTGAATGGCAAGGCACTGGAGCGACGAACCGCCCTTGCTGTCTCTACCTGGCCGGCTCCAGTCTCTCCACTGGGATTCTCTGCCTCTGACTGGGGGCTGAGTCACTGGCTTACTAGTGCTCTTCCATGCTGTCCCTAGGAGGGTTGCATCACTTGAGTGGGTTGAGTCACAGACGTGATCTTCCTGTCCGGTTTTGCGCCCCCTCAGGCTCGTGCGGTGGAGGAGATCTTCATGGCCTATACTCAGACTTGTCTCAGGGTAGTAAGTTGGTGGTCTGTTGATATCCCTCTAGTGCTGTTTGGGCTGTGCTTTGAAAAAGTGGGTGGGGTTATATCCTGCCTGGTTGGCCCTGTCCGGGGGTATTGTTGGACGGGCCACAGTGTCCCCCGACCCACCCCTGTGTCTCAGTCTCCAGTATCTATGCTGCAACGGTCTATGTGCTGGGGGGCTAGGGTCAGTCTGTTATATCTGGTGTCATTCTCCTGTCTTATCTGGTGTCCTGTGTGAATTTAAGTATGCTCCCTCTAATTATCTCTGTCTCCCCTCCAGGAGGACCTGAGCCCTAGGACCATGCCTCAGGACTACCTGGCCTGATGACTCTTGGCTGTCCCCAGTCCACCTGGTCGTGCGGCTGCTCCAGTTTCAACTGTTCTGCCTGCGGCTAGGGAACCCTGACCTGTTCACCGGACGTGCTACCTTGTCCTGTACCTGCTGTTTTCGACTCTCTCTCTACCGCACCTGCTGTCTCGACCTCTGAATTGTCGGCTATGAAAAGCCAACTGACATTTACTCCTGAGATGTCGCTCCCTCTACAACCACTGTGATTATTATTTGACCCTGCTGGTCATCTATGAACGTTTGATCATCTTGGAGAACAATCTGGCCTTAAATGGCCATATAATCTTATAATCTCCACCAGGCACAGCCAGAAGAGGACTGGCCACCCCTCAGAGCCGGGTTCCTCTCTAAGTTTCTTCCTAGGTTTCTGCCTTTCTAGGTAGTTTTTCCTAGCCACCGTGTCATTATGGAGTATTGTGTGTAGATTCATGAGAAAAAAAGAAAATCATTTTTAGAATAAGGCTGTAACGTAATAAAATGTGGAAAAAGTCAAGAGGTCTGAATACTTTCCGAATGCACTGTACAGTACATAAGTGTTAAGTTGGATGCTAGATCCAATGTACATTGTTCATTAAATTATTGATCGTTTTCTCTGTGTGTGTGTGTATGTGTGTGTGGGGGGGGGGTGACAAGGGGTGTTGAAAGGTAAAATACAGAAATATAGATTGAAAAAGGTTTGCATAATATATCAGAAATATAGATTGAAGAAGGGGGTAAGACACAAAAGAAGACTTGAGAGCAAATCAAAGAGAAAGGAACAACAGAAAGAACAGAAAGTTTGAAAGTTTATTGAGCGTCAACACAGTTTTCAAGAAGTGGAAAACAGAGGAGCAGAAGGAAAGGCTTACATATATAAACAGGAGAATACAAGACAAAGGAAGCTGAATTTCTAACCACATAAATCTTCAAGAGCCTGTTGTTCACTGCAATCCTAATTCATCATGGTAAATGTAAAATATCTAAGAAACTATACAAAAATACTCTTTCTTGTGTTTTCACTTTCTTAAAACATACCTAAATAGGTTCAAAGCAATAATACCTAATTAATGCATAATAAATACATTTCTCTATCTCTCCTTGATGTCTCTGAGTATCATATGCGCGTATAAACTCTGCCGCAAGTCACTCAGAATCTACTTAATGTAGATTCTGGCAAAAGCACATTAAAAAGTAACATAAAAAACTACTTTGCACTACTACGGAAAAATCCAGTGTTTGTCAACTCTACACGAGGATAGAACGTTAGCGGCCGTCGGCTAGCGTACGCATCCTGACCATTAATCTCAGCAGCTGAGCTCTGACCCCTTGGTCTTACTTGAAAGCGAACACGGAGGTGTTGGTGATGGACTCCATGATTGTGGCCAGGCGGCTGCACAGGTCGTGGGGCACTTTGGAGCGCACCGTTGGTGGATCTTTTAGGACCACCCTCTCTGTTGAGCAGTCCAGAACCCTGGGGAGAAACTCACCCAGCTTCTCCTGTAGGGAGTCTGAGAAAGAGAGGAAGGGGGAGAGGAAGAGAAAGACTTAGAGCTTCCATAGGAGGAGTAAAATACAGTTATTTACTATAAGCCTTATAATAACGCAATTATACCTCTCAGCTTTAAGTAAAGTGTTACTGAAATCTGCAAATGACAGCAGTGTTGATGTAGACAAACAATTAGCACAGCTTGGTTAAAGCCCAGTAAAAACATCTTCCCCTCCCTCTGTCCTCACCATCCAGGTCTACTCCCAGGTAGGAGCACCAGTGGCTGCGGATAGCCTCCATGGTGTCCAGGTCCTCCTGGCTGACCATGTCCGGCCGGCTCATCAGGTGCATGCAGGGGATGACCGCCTCGTTCATGATGATCACGCCCTCCTCCACGTCGCTCACCTCGCCGCTCCTGAACAGGGTGGCCGCATTGTCATTCACTTCCTAGGAAGTGGGCAGAAGGGGGAGGACAGGGGATATTCATATGCAGTGTCACTACGGAGTCTTTTTGTATAAGAGCATATGCAAAATGACCAAACTATAGCCGAATAAAAATTTGCAATGTGAGTCTAGAGATAAGTGGTCTATATACGGACAAAGTGTTAATATGCTATATAGCAGGGCTTTTCAACTCCAGCCCTGTGAAACTTTCTCACACTGAAGTTTAGCTTCTTATTCTCTATTCTATTAACCTTTAATATATCTTTACTTTTATATTCCCAACTGACAATATCAGTCTCATGTCCCAAATCTTTTCAAACCAGGTCTTTCACAGTGATGCCTCTGCATCATCAGTAACACTCACTTTGAGACACCTCCTCCTGTAAAGTGCAATAAGCGACTGCTCCACCCCTCTCTTCTCCCCTCTCCTCAGCAGAATGGTGTTGTCTTTGTAGGCGTGGTTGAGGTAATTCAGCGCCTCGCGCACCCTGGTGGAACACAATGATGATATCACGCCACGCCACGTCAGCCAGTCAGCCCACTGATGACATCACATCAGCCAGTCAGCCCACTCACTCACTCAAACCACCATACAGGCTGATCACGTAGGGGCAGAGCCCCGGTCGCCATGACAACACCTACTTTCCATGCTGGTACTGTTCCAAGCCCGTCAGCAGGTAGACAAACACTGTCCGGAACAGGCTGTAGTCGTCATGCCATTGCTGAGGAGAAGAGCACACAGACACAATCAATGCAAGTTTGGTCTGATTTCCGATGGAGAAAAAAGCCTACCTAGAGTATTGGTATAAATCACATACACTACTAGCAATCAAGGCCTGTGTAATGTACAGTGAGGGAAAAAAGTATTTGATCCCCTGCTGATTTTGTACATTTGCCCACTGACAAAAACATGATCAGTCTATAATTTTAATGGTAGGTGTATTTGAACAGTGAGAGACAGAATAACAACAAAAACATCCAGAAAAACGCATGTAAAAAATGTTATACATTGATTTGCATTTTAATGAGGGAAATAAGTATTTGACCCCTCTGCAAAACATGACTTAGTACTTGGTGGCAAAACCCTTGTTGGCAATCACAGAGGTCAGATGTTTCTTGTAGTTGGCCACCAGGTTTGCACACATCTCAAGAGGGATTTTGTCCTACTCCTCTTTGCAGATCTTCTCCAAGTCATTAAGGTTTTGAGCCTGACGTTTGGCAACTCGAACCTTCAGCTCCCTCCACAGATTTTCTATGGGATTAAGGTCTGGAGACTGGCTAGGCCACTCCAGGACCTTAATGTGCTTCTTCTTGAGCCACTCCTTTGTTGCCTTGGCCGTGTGTTTTGGGTCATTGTCATGCTGGAATACCCATCCATGACCCATTTTCAATGCCCTGGCTGAGGGAAGGAGGTTCTCACCCAAAATTTGACAGTACATGGCCCCGTCCATCGTCCCTTTGATGCGGTGAAGTTGTCCTGTCCCCTTAGCAGAAAAACATCCCCAAAGCATAATGTTTCCACCTCCATGTTTGACGGTGGGGATGGTGTTCTTGGGGTCATAGGCAGCATTTCTCCTCCTCCAAACACGGCGAGTTGAGTTGATGCCAAAGAGCTCGATTTTGGTCTCATCTGACCACAACACTTTCACCCAGTTCTCCTCTGAATCATTCAGATGTTCATTGGCAAACTTCAGACGGCCCTGTATATGTGCTTTCTTGAGCAGGGGGACCTTGCGGGCGCTGCAGGATTTCAGTCCTTCACGGCGTAGTGTGTTACCAATTGTTTTCTTGGTGACTATGGTCCCAGCTGCCTTGAGATCATTGACAAGATCCTCCCGTGTAGTTCTGGGCTGATTCCTCACCGTTCTCATGATCATTGCAACTCCACGAGGTGAGATCTTGCATGGAGCCCCAGGCCGAGGGAGATTGACAGTTCTTTTGTGTTTCTTCCATTTGCGAATAGTCGCACCAACTGTTGTCACCTTCTCACCAAGCTGCTTAGTGATGGTCTTGTAGCCCATTCCAGCCTTGTGTAGGTCTACAATCTTGTCCCTGACATCCTTGGAGAGCTCTTTGGTCTTGGCCATGGTGGAGAGTTTGGAATCTGATTGATTGATTGCTTCTGTGGACAGGTGTCTTTTATACATGTAACAAGCTGAGATTAGGAGAACTCCCTTTAAGAGTGTGCTCCTAATCTTAGCTCGTTACCTGTATAAAAGACACCTGGGAGCCAGAAATCTTTCTGATTGAGAGGGGGTCAAATACTTATTTCCCTCATTAAAATGCAAATCAATTTATAACATTTTTGACATGCGTTTTTCTGGATTTATTTGTTGTTATTCTGTCTCTCACTGTTCAAATAAACCTACCATTAAAATTATAGACTGATCATTTCTTTGTCAGTGGGCAAACGTACAAAATCAGCAGGGGATCAAATACTTTTTTCCCTCACTGTAGGTTTATGTTCAAATAAGTATTTTATAGTGTTTAGCTCAAATTGTCCCCATGTGAAATGACACAAGGGAACCATTAATCACTGATCGTCTTGGATTCTTTATGATTGGTGGAACAAACTGCTTAACAGTGGGGACAACATTTTGGAACATCACAGGTAATGATCATTCATACTCCATTCAACCATTTTTATGCGAGTAAAGGTTTGTATGCTGGCGACATGATGATCGGTGCCTGGCTGCCAAATGACAAATAAAAATGAACTCCAATAACCAGAGAATATTCCGAAAAATATGAAATCTACTTTTTGCACAGAGCTGCCGGACATCTTGCATTTCCCAACATCTTTGCTTGATGTAGTCATTTCTAAGCTCCGCAGCCACATGTAGAAGAATGACATCGTGTCACACAGTGCGACTCAAACAACATAAACAAAGATCTATACACATGCCAGAGGCATTTCTTACTCTGTACAAAAAGTGGATTTAATATTTTTCGGAATATTCTCTAGTTATTGGAAATCCACCTGCAACTGGAAACAGGCATTTATAAGACACAAGTGCCTTCCAAATCGAGAATAAAGAAAGTATCGGCAGTAAAGGTTGGTTGAAAATAAGTTTACTATGCTTTCAATAGACCATCAGATCGACCTCCAGAACAAGCTAGCTTAGCTATGCCGCTGGAGGTTGGATCTAGATTGGCTAAGGGAAACCTTGCTATTGACACATACCATATATTCCTCCATATCCATATCCTCTGGCTTGATGAGGCGTAGTTTGGCGCGGGCCTCTCTCATGATACTGATGGACCTACACAGGAATTGATGATTTGCCCCACAGCAATATACCTATGAATAATACTTGTTGATGATAAATGCTTTTTAATTGTTCAACAAATAATTGTAAAAACAGCAGCAACAAGCTGAATTGCAAGTACAACTTACAATGAAATGACAAAACATGAACACATTTGAAGTTTTTAAATATAAATTTCAACGCATGTCAGAGTGGTGCTGACTGACCTGTCGTCGAAGCTGAGGTTACGGTCGGTGAAGCCATCCAGCAGGGTCCTCTCGATGACGCAGCTGGGCGCCTGGTTCTGGAAGAAGTAGACCAGGGCATGGTGCAGGCGTGGGTCCTGCTGGGGAGTGGTCTCCTCCTGGGACAACTCAAACAGACGGGAGTACTCCTCCCGGAAAGCCTGAGGAGAGGGGTGTTAGGGATGTTGGAGACCACTGGGCACAGACGTCATCTCAAAGTATAGTTCTGATTTACATTTGGTTGAGTTGTCAACTAACGTGAATTGAAAAACTCTACTTAAATCCGAACTGGTTCTCTAGTAGATTAGTAAGAATGGCTCACCCAGTGTTCAAGAATGGCCTTTTTCCCTTCATTAAGATTACAACCTCTCACTTTTGGTTATTTGAAAATGAAATAATCTCCAAAATATAGCTATTTTTAAAACAAGCAATAGAAAGTTGGTTGCAATTACTGTTTAATCCACCAGAAAAGACTGAACACATATTACAACAAACATTATGGTTAAACTCAAATATACTAACTGATAGAAAAAATATAAATAATGTTAAACGGTATCATCTTTGTAAATGATATCATAAATAGGACTGGTGGCGTGTCACACATGCAGTTAACAAAAATATATGGAAATGTCTGCTCTTTCCAAAATTACAACCAACTGATTGCAGCATTACCACAACAATGGAGGAGGCAAGTGAAAAGGGGAGAAGGTAAGGAACTTGTCTGCCTGCATTCAAGACCAACATTGTCTAAAGAAAATTGTGATAAACCAGTTTCATTTAAGGACCAAATAATTGACAGCTGCGCCATACAGGTTGCAAAATAGTTGGGAGGACATTTTCGATGTACCAAGTCCATGGCACATGGTTTATGAACTGTAAAATATTTATGTAGTCTGTATAAACTGGAAGTGGAAGCCTCAGTAATGTTGTCCATTAGTTAACTCCAATTAGGAGAGGGGTGGTAGGGTTAGGGGAAAATAATAAAGGAAAATATATACACTACCGGTCAAAAGTTTTAGAACACCCACTCATTCAAGGGTTTTTCTTTATTTTTACTAGTGAAAACATCAAAACGATTAAATAACAGATATGGAATCATGTAGTAACCAAAAAAGTGTTAAACAAATCCAAATATATTTTATATTTGAGATTCTTCAAATAGCGACCCTTTGCCTAGTTGACAGCTTTGCACACTCTTGGCATTCTCTCAACCAGCTTCACCTGGAATGCTTTTCCAACAGTCTTGATGGAGTTTCCACATATGCTGAGCACTTGTTGGCTGCTTTTCCTTCACTCTGCGGTCCGACTCATCCCAAACCATCTCAATTTGGTTGAGGTCGGGGGATTGTGGAGGCCAGGTCATCTGATACAGCACTCCATCACTCTCCTTCTTGGTAAAATAGCCATTACACAGCCTGGAGGTGTGTTGGGTCATTGTCCTGTTGACAAACAAATGATAGTCCCACTAAGCCCAAACCAAATGGGATGGCGTTTCGCTGCACAATGCTGTGGTAGCCATGCTGGTTAAGTGTGCCTTGAATTCTAAATAAATCACAGACAGTGTCACCAGCAAAGCACCCCCACACCATTACACCTCCTCCTCCATGCTTTACGGTGGAAAATACACATGCAGAGATAATCCGTTCACCCACACTGCGTCTCACAAAGACACAGCGGATGGAACCAAAAATCTCAAATTTGGACTCCAGACCAAAGGACACATTTCCACCGGTCTAATGTCCATTGTTCGTGTTAATTGCCCAAACAAGTCTCTTCTTACTGGTATCCTTTAGTAGTGGTTTCTTTGCAGCAATTCGACAATGAAGGCCTGATTCACACAGTCCTCTCTGAACAGTTGATGTTGAGATGTGTCTGTTACTTGAATTCAGTGAAGCATTTATTTGGGCTGCAATTTCTGAGGCTGGTAACTCTAATGAACTTATCCTTTTTGCGACTGCACTTGAACTGCACTTCCACGGGGGGGCCAGTATGAAAAATAAATAAAAATAATGTATGCACTCACTAACTGTAAGTCGCTCTGGATAAGAGCATCTGCTAAATGACTAAAATGTAAAATTTAAAAAATTTTAAAAGTTGTTGAAATGTTCCGTATTGACTGACCTTCATTTCTTAAAGTAATAGTAGTAAAGTTCTCTTTGCTTATTTGAGCTGTTCTTGCCATAATATGGACTTGGTCTTTTACCAAATAGGGCTATCTTCTGTATACCCCCCCCCCCCCCCCCTTCCTTGTCACAACACAACACAACTGATTGGCTCAAACGCATTAAGAAGGAAATCAAATCCACAAATTAACTTTTAAGAAGGCACACCTGTTAATTGAAATGCATTTCAGGTGACTACCTCATGAAGCTGGTTGAGAGAATGCCAAGAGTGTGCAAAGCTGTCATCAAGGCAAAGGGTGGCTATTTGAAGAATCTCAAATATAAAATATATTTGGATTTGTTTCACACTTTTTTGGTTACTACATGATTCCATATCTGTTATTTAATAGCTTTGATGTCTTCACTATTATTCTACAATGTAGAAAATAGTAAAAATAAATAAAAACCCTTGAATGAGTAGGTGTTCTAAAACTTTTGACCGGTAGTGTATATAAAAAAATGAATGCGTGAATTTAACGTGAAAGACAGAAAAATGTACCATGTCAATGAATTTAGGTTCAAAGTTGGGTGAAAAAAATACGAAATTCCCTTTCTGCAAATCGAATACATTTTCCACATTGATTGAACGTCATCACATTGAATTTTTGTTGTTGAAATGACGTGGAAACAGATTTGATTCAACCAGTTTTTGCCCATCATCCTACAGAAAACTGTACTACATGAGTGATTGATATCTTTATTTCATCCACCTTGATTGGACTGTGAGGTACCAACAGTATACCTTTTCTAACATATCCCTATGGCTCAAGTCTGCCAAGACTCTACCTCTCCTCTTTATGTACATATATATATATCTCTCTACAAGAGGAGACTGACAGAATGTTTACACGTATAGCATGGTAGAAGGACATAGACTAGCGAGATGCCACAACCTACTTTACCTTGATGAGGCCAGCCTCAGGGCCATCCTTGTCGAACGCCTGTCTGGCTTTGGCTATGGCCATAATGATTCCCTGCATAGCTGGAGTGAGCATCATCTAAAACACAGCACCACAGAGAAGGACAAAGAATGGGCATTAGAGCGAGGCCATGCACAAACAAACTCCTATAGCAACGATGCACCCTTCAGCGAGTCATGTATTCTGTATCCATTCATTGGATTGATGCAAACCATCATATTATAATTTGAAGCAACACTCAGAGTGGCATTGCCCAAAATGTATCCAAATGATTTTCTAACCAATAATCAATAGAAGTCATCGACCACGGAAAAGCATGCTTTCAATGTATTGGATTTTGATTTATATATGTACAGTTCCTTCGGAAAGTATTCAGACCCCTTGACTTTTTCCACATTGTTACATTACAGCCTTATCCTAAAATGGATTTAAAAAATAAATAATCCTCAGCAATCTACACACATTACCCCATAATGACAAAGCGAAAACAGTTTTTTATTTTTAAATGGTCAGGATCGAGGCAAAGATGAACGGAGCAAAGTACAGAGAGATCATTGATGAAAACCTGCTCCAGAGCGCTCAGGACCTCAGACTGGGGCGAAGGTTCACCTTCCAAAAGGACAACAACCCTAAGCACACAGCCAAGACAACACAGGAGTGGCTTCGGGACAAGTCTCTGAATGCCCTTGAGTGGCCCAGCCAGAGACGGACTTGAACCCGATCGAACATCTCTGGAGAGACCTGAAAATAGCTGTGCGGCAACGCTCCCCATCCAACCTGACAGAGCTTGAGAGGATCTGCAGAGAATAATGGGAGAAACTCCCCAAATACAGGTGTGCCAAGCTTGTAGCGTCATACCCAAGAAGACTCTATGCTGTAATCGCTGCCAAAGGTGCTTCAACAAAGTACTGAGTAAAGGGTCTGAATACTTATGTAAACGTAATATTTATGTTTTTAAAAACCTGTTTATGCTTTGTCATTATGGGGTATTGTGTGTAGATTGATGAGGGAAAAAAACAATTTCATCAAATTTTAAATAAGGCTGTAACGTAACAAAATGTGGAAAAAGTCAAGGGGTCTGAATACTATCCGAAGGCACTGTATTTAAGTTACGTATGGGGCGACTCTCTACCTCTTCATTGTAGCCGTCATTGTCAGCCTGCACCAGGATCCTGCCCACATTGGGGATCTCCACCTCCGACACCACGTTCTCTGGTTGCTGCTGCTGCCGGCGTCTGGTCGCCGGCGGGGCGTCCTGACCATCCTCGCCGTCTGCCTGGGTGTCGGGCGATGCCACAGCTTCCGCCCCTGCCTCTCTGACCCCAGTCTCGCTGTCGGTCTCAGTGGTGAACTCTGTGGAGGGGTCAGGGGTCACAGCTGCAGTCTGGGCCTGGCCATTCATCTCTGCTGCAGGGCTGGGAGACTGTGGTGGGGGGAGCTGCTGGGGATATTAAGTTGACAAAGTTAGATAGATCAAGTTAGCTGGTTAATGTCAAGTCTAAGGCATATAGAGACCTAACATGCATGTCTGGTACTTGTCTATTATGTCACCCCCCCCCAAAAAAAAGTATTATTATATTATGCTTACACAATAAAAAGCTTAATTGCAGCATATATAATTTAAATAAAATAAAATAATTTTTCTGACTGGATCCTCTTTTGATTGATAAACTGAGTCGTAAAATGTACATTTACTGTGCATTAACTTAGTTGGATCTTTAAAATAACGGAAGGACCATAAACAAAACCAAAAGCACTTCACTACATTGGGATTCATTCAGGACTATATGCATTGGCCACTAGAGGTCGCATGTACACCATTTATGAAAAATTTGCCGTTTGCACAGGCAGGTAATCTGTCTAGCAAGCAATGGAATATGTAACACATGCCAAGTGGATTACAGTTATATTTAACATAAAGCGGGTAAAATCTAGACCTAACATTCAGATACTACTGATACTACTAGGACAACTTTCTACCAACAGTTAGACAACAAAGAGCAACTGCAATATCACGATGGATCCTTGTCATCAGGGAATACACCACATTCTGTTTCATACACATTAACAAAATTCTGTTGTTACTCAATGTTGACAACAGCCACATCATTCACACAAGCATTCTCAAAACATTTCACAGGCCTGAAAACGAGCATCGGTCCGAGCAAACAACCAACCTACGGCTTGTCGTTGGAATACGCCAGAACTCTCTCCAACTAACCGACCGCAAAGTACAGTAAGAGGAATAAAAAGCTAATGTTCTATTTAAAGCCAGACCTTTCACTGGCCACAGCTCCTGTGTCCTCCTGACAGTGTCCCCAAGAACCACCAGTGGTAAACCAACTGACTGTGTGGAATGCTGCTGGGATGGCTGGGGGAGGGTGTCCAGTGACTGACTGCGAAGGCCGTAACGCCTCCAGCGAGGGGGGTGTGGGATGTGGGGAAAGGGACTTTAGCTAAACAGTTGGAAAATACTGGGGTATACTAACGGAGGTTAGCCTACTGGTAAACACAGCTGCCTTTGGACTACACATAGCCACCGTCTAAAAGATCAACAATAACTCTGAGAATAACACACTCCCTCTTCTTTCTTATATGTTGTTTATCTAAAACTGAACCCATGAGTCACCCTAATGTCATGACTCAAGGCCAAAACATCCAGTAGCAGCAGCTATCACTATGCAACAGGGAACTAAGGGATAGGTCTATGTGTGTATATGGCCTAGATAGAGTCTGTGACCTATATTCGATGGCTGCTCAGATGACAACACCAGACCCCTCTTTTCACCCTGTCCACTTGACTGTGTTGCTGCCCCTCCTCGTCCTCGCTGGTATGTTGGCAGGGCTCTGGCGTGACAGTGACAGAGACAGCCTGGTGGTTGCTCTCCTCTGGGCTGCTGCCTGCGCTCTCCGGGGACACAGGTACTGGGGACTGGGGCTGGCTTGTTGGGACAGGCTCTGAAACAGGACAAGGACAATGAATGGAACAGGCAACAATAGTCAGAACTCAGATCTTAAATATTTGCTAGTGTTTAATTGAACAAATGTGATACATTTTATGAAGAGGGAAATGGATTAGTCCCCATCGGTAGACAGACAGGGACAATAGGGCTTGGCCAAATGTGGTGACCATTTGATTCAGTAGCTGACTAAAAGACAAGGACAAAAACCTTGCTTTGAAAAAGTATTTGCCCCCTTTCTACTTTTGCATATTTGTGATACTGAATGTTATCAGATCTTCAACCAAAACCTAATATTAGATAAAGGGAACATAAGTGAACAAATAACACAACAATTACATAGTTATTTCATAAACAAAGTTATGCAACACCCAATTCCCCTGTGTGAAAAAGTAATTGCCCCTTACACTCAATAACTGGTTGTGCCACCTTTAGCTGCAATGACTCCAACCAAATGCTTCCTGTAGTTGTTGATCAGTCTCTCACGTCACTGTGGAGGAATTTTGGCCCACTCTTCCATGCAGAACTGCTTTAACTCAGTGACGTGTGGGTTTTCAAGCACGAACTGCTCGTTTCAAGTCCTGCCACAACATCTCAAATGGGATTAGGTCTGGACTTTAACTAGGCCATTCCAAAAATTCAAATGTGTTGCTTTTTAGCCAATTTTCATGTGGACTTGTTTGTGTGTTTTGGATCATTGTCTTGCTGCATGACCCAGCTGCGCTTCAGCTTCAGCTCACAGACGGATGGTCTGACATTCTCCTGTAGAATTCTCTGATACAGAGCAGAATTCATGGTTCCTTCTATTAAGGCAAGTCGTCCAGGTCCTGAGGCAGCAAAGCATCCCCAAACCATCACACCACCACCACCATGCTTGACCTTTGGTATGATGTTCTTACTGTAGAATGCAGAGTTTGGTTTTCGTCCAAAAAGTTATACTTTTGAATCATCTGTCCATAGAACGTTCTTCCAAGAGTTTTGATGATCATCCAGGTGCTTTTTGGCAAACTTGAGTCAACTTTTTGGACGAGATGGGTCTCATTATGCCTGGCGAAAACCAAACACTGCATTCCACAGTAAGAACATCATACCAAAGGTCAAGCATGGTGGTGGTGGTGTGATGGTTTGGGGATGCTTTGCTGCCTCAGGACCTGGACGATAACATTCAGTATCACAAATATGCAAAAGTAGAGAAAATTAGAAAGGGGGCAAATACTTTTTCATAGCACTGTACACCCCCACCCTCAAAGACCATGTAACCCTTCCATATAAAATGATGTCCAGACTGACTTTCAGATTCCACTGCTGGTTTAACAGCCGACTCTGCCTCTGGTTCCTGTTCCTGCTCCCCAGTGGGTTCCTGGGCAGGTCCAGTTTGGGGGACTGGTTCTGCTGGGTCATCTTTAGTGGGAGCATGAGTGGAGGTGGAGGCTGCTGTGGGAGTGGCCGGCTTCTGCTGTGGCGGCTGGTAGAACTGCTCTTCACACTCCCTGAGCTCTTGCTGGAACCAGCGGTTGTCCTCGCTCACGTAGCGCCTGAGGATGGGTGGCAGGGAGTCCATGCCCTGCATGACCTGGCCCATCTCGTCATCTGTGTCCTCTGTGGACAGAAATATCATGAATATAAACAACATCACAATGAACTAACTGATCACATTCAATAGTAACATAAACTAAGCAGCATACCCTGAAAAGACAAGCAAAACACACTAAAAAACATTATGTAAAAAAAAACACCTGTTCAGGCTATGAATTGGATATTCATAAATGTATTTATTTATATATCCAGAGCAACAGTTACAGTGTGCACAGATATAGCCGGTATCCAGTATAGGTGTGGCCAGATATATGTAAACAGCACTGTGACATGTTGACTTGCACATGTTGACACAAAAACATTTCCAACATTTCAGTCCAAAGTAATTTAGCTGAGCAGGACTGGCCTTATGTTTTTGGTCTCTGGTGTACATTGTTAGTTCAGTTTGTGGTCATACACACATCTTTCAAAAATGTAGGTGCTGGCCTAAGGAAGCATACTTGAAAAGAACAGAAAGGACTGCACACTGAATTTGCTCCCAATTACCACCTTTATGGACAACGTTTCGATCCAACACGGATCTTCGTCAGGTCAAACAGACTGAGTGCTCACTTCCCAATACACTGTAAATAAAAATGTTCACCTCGCATACATAGCTAGTTCCTCAGTGGAATGGGGAGTAGGGATACAGGTACCTGCGATGAGGTGAGACAATATGTGCTGGCGTTGGTCATGCCTCCGTACGAGTCCCTGACCAGCTCCTCCAAGGAGGACACGCTGACGATGACATCGTTGTACTTCATCCAGCGCTGGTTACCGTGGTCGTAGATATAGGCCCAGTAGTGGCCGGCCGAGGCTTGGCCCTCATGGAAGAGGACGGCATGAAGCCTGTACGGCACCTTCACACATCAAAACAAGAGAAACTTTCTGTATTGGCATGTGCACATTCAAACAAGAGATTAGGACTAGAAAAGTAAAGTTTTAGCACAAACCTACCGTTAATCATTATAGTCTCTTGTGACAGAGCGTTAACATAATGTCAAATCGAGTACCTGACAAGATGTGGTTCTGGGTTCCGAGATGAATCATTATGCAATGCTTGTGACACATGTTCAACCTGACAAAGTGATATTAGTGTATCACATGCTTTAACCTGACACGGACTGTCAGATAGATGAGAAAGAGGGATCTTACCTGTTATCCAAGCAGATGCCCTCCAGCGCTTGGCTGACCCTGTCGATGCTGGCCTTTAGCTCTGAGCACCGAGACACACAGATCAATGCAGTGCACCTGGGGCTGGGCTAGATACACACACACACACACTCTAGAGTAGACACTCTGGGATAACTGACTGACAGCTAGGGTAGGCTGTCTGCTCATGATACACCTACGAAAAACGATCACTCGATATATACAGTAAATGAGTATTACCACATACAGCTTCAAATCCTGTTTAAAAAGGTAAACATGCTCTCATGGAATCTAATTTCGCAATCACTACAGATATATCATAGAAATCAAGTGCTATTTGCATGTGAAAATGTCACGGGATGTATTAGATCCATTGTTCACATTTTTGTTGGTGCCACACTTTGCCAGTGCTATGCATATCTTACAGAGTGTGGCTGTAATGGACAAGAAAACATTTGAACATGAACCCAATTACAGAGAGGTTATCATTAGTGAATCCAGGTGTAAGTCACCGTACCGTTCATGTTGTTCTCCACCTCTGTCCTACACCGCTGCAGGCAGGTCTTGACGAAGCGCAGCTCCTCCTCGGTCACACTGTGGGGGGCGGGGTGGGGGGCGGGGTGAGGTGGGGTGTCCATGGGGGGTCTGCACTGGGTGAAGGGCTTGTAGATGGACGTCCTCTGGCTCGAGGGGGGCTGCTGCTGACAGGTGGAGCTGTCGGACGGGCCTGCGTCTCCTGGCTCCTGGCACTGACTGAGGAGACCCACAGAGGAAAGGCAGGATGTCAACAAATGGGGTTGGCATGCAAAAATACAGTGAAGACAGTGGGTGATATACTATAAATAGGCTAAAAGGTAAAACATTACAGGGGTGAATTGGTCAATCTCATATCAGAATAGAAATGGAATAAATATAAATCTATTTAATATTTCCCATCGTTTTTTTACTAGGAGTTTAAAATGTATTAATTTATTTTCAATTATCCCCTGAATTGACTGACTTCACATTGACATTCTAGGTAGGAACACATCACAGTGTTTACTCTCTCTTCAGCAGCTGGCACTGCAGTCACATTGAGTAATATGGAGTACCGGTAAGTCGTGACAGGACTAGATATTGTGTAAGCACTAGAAACCTCTACATGCACACATTGGGGTTGCTGCTGGGGGGGAGTGGGGGATGAGGCAGCCAGCCTCACGTCTTCAGCAGGGGACACACTGGTGTGCTTAGTGCAGGCGAACTCCAACATGTACTGTAACATGTCTGCAAGAGGATACTTTGTCAGCCCAGAGCCATAGTTTCTGTAGCTGGAAACAGAAGAAGACAAAGGTTGAAATGATGGTAAATTGGTTAAACAGATTTCATCCAAAACATTGTCAGTCATGATTCATGAGCAGGACATTTCCTACGTGAATCAAAATACTCATATTAGAGAAACACTGTGTGTATGTCAGTTTTTCTACTAACTAATGATTCATTCACTCTCAGTGGACACATTTGGATGTATCCATCCTGTTGCAGTCATCAGTGAATTCTTCAATAAAAAATGATTAGGTAAAAAGATCACAGTGGTCCTCCAAAATGTGTATTGATGTGTACCTGATGGGTCACACTGCTTTACAAACAGTAAGTTCAATAGTAAAATCACCATTCCAGTTTCTGCTGCAGGACCGTGAGCTACTCCTTCAGTCGCTTCACCTCTCCTGTCCTGTTGTGGGTCTGCTCATTGTTCTTGTGAAGGTATCTGTTCGCATACAGTAAACTTAGTTTACCACAACAAAAGTTTATTTGACTCGGATTCCCCAATTACAGTATCACCATTACAATGCAATACAATGCTTAGTCTACTGTAAATGAATGCTGATATTCAATATATAGACGAGTTTCTTTCCAAAACACGATAAATCCATTTTCAGAAATGTTGGTAAATTATCTTTTATTTAAAGAATTTATGAAAGAGATTGGTGTGTTTTTCACTATCTAATCATGGCATGGGGTTGTTCAATGACAGTTATGTATTTGTTTAAAATCTATCAATTGGTTTAATTTCAGAGAAACATAATCATGTTTTTTTGCAAAATGCTATATATTCACCTCACTCAAGAGAAATAAGTAGTACTGCTAGGTTTTACACAGTCAAATGTAACAAATAACTACATTTTCTATAAAGAACTGTATGACACATTTGTGACAAAAAACCAATACAAATCAATACAGTAATATGAGATCTGTGTGTAAAACACTTACATTTGACATTTTAGTCATTTAGCAGATGCTCCTATTCAGAGCGACTTACAGTTAGTGCATTCATCTTCAGGTAGCTATGTGAAACAACCACAACATACAGTATATCACAGTCAAATATACAGTATTCAAACAATTCATTCCAGCTAAACAAAGGATATATAGTGTTTTGCAAAAAAACACATTTTAATAGACACCTAAAGTCTATGAATGAAAAATCTGAGAACAGTAATATTTTAAACACATGAAGGTACCCATAACCAATCATTTCTGGTGAAAAAACACAAATGTGAAAAATGTGTGGATATAGTGTTTTGGAAATAAACTCTTCACATGAATATATATGTTTAGATACATATTAATACACATATACAGTACCAGTCAAAAGTTTGGACACAGCTACACATTCAAGGGTTTTTCTTTATTTTTTACATTGTAGAATAATAGTGAAGACATCAAAACTATGAAATAACACATATGGAATCTTGTAGTAACCAAAAAACTGTTAAACAAATCAAAACATATTTTCTATTTAAGATTCTTCAAATATCCCCCCTTTGCCTTGATAACGGCTTTGCACACTCTTGGCATTCTCTCAACCAGCTTCATGAGGTAGTCACCTGGAATGCATTTCAATTAACAGGTGTGCCATCTTAAAAGTTAAAATGTATTTCCTTCTTAATGAGTTTGAGCCAATCAGTTGTGTTGTGACAAGGTAGGGGGGTATACAGAAGATAGCCCTATTTGGTTAAAATACCAAGTCCATAATATGGCAAGAACAGCTCAAATAAGCAAAGAGAAACAACAGTCCATCATTACTTTAAGACATGAAGGTCAGTCAATACAGAACATTTCAAGAACTTTGAAAGTTTCTTCAAGTGCAGTCGTAAAAACCATCAAGCGCTATGATGAAACTGGCTGTCATGAGGACCACCACAGGAATGGAAGACCCAGAGTTACCTCTGCTGCAGAGGATAAGTTCATTAGAGTTACCAGCCTCAGAAATTGCAGCCCAAATAAATGCTTCACAGAGTTCAAGTAACAGACACATCTCAACATCAACTGTTCATAGGGGACTGTGTGAATCAGGCCTTCATGGTCGAATTGCTGCAAAGAAACCACTACTAAAGGACACCAATAATAAGAAGAGACCTGCTTGGGCCAAATTGGAGATTTTTGGTTCCAACCGCCGTGTCTTTGTGAGACGCGGTGTGGGTGAATGGATGATCTCCGCATGTGTATTTCCCACCATAAAGCATGGAGGAGGAGGTGTTATGGTACTTTGCTGGTGACACTGTCTGTGATTTATTTAGAATTCAAGGCACACTTAACCAGCATGGCTACCACAGCATTCTACAGCGATACGCCATCCCATCTGGTTTGCGCTTAGTGGGACTATCATTTTGTTTTTCAACAGGACAATGACCCAACACACCTCCAGGCTGTGTAAGGGCTATTGTACCAAGAAGGAGAGTGATGGAGTGCTGCATCAGATGACCTGGCCTCCACAATCCCCTGACCTCAACCCAATTGATGGTTTGGGATGAGTCGGACCGCAGAGTGAAGGAAAAGCAGCTAACAAGTGCTCAGCATTTGTGGGAACTCCTTCAAGACTGTTGGAAAAGCATTCCAGGTGAAGCTGGTTGAGAGAACGCCAAGAGTATGCAAAGCTGTCATCAAGGCGAAGGGTAGCTATTTGAAGAATTTCAAATATAAAATAAGTTTTGTTTTGTTTAACACTTTTGTTTACTACATGATTCCATATCTGTTATTTCATAGTTTTGATGTCTTCATTATTATTCTACAATGTAAAAAATAATACAAATAAAGAAAAACCCTTGAATGAGTAGGTGTGTCCAAACCTTTGACTGGTAGTGTACATAGTTTTAGCTTTTTCACAAATGAATATCAAGCAGCTCACCTGTCCATAGAAATGATTTGTGGGAACTCCAGTTTCTTGTGAATCTTCTCTGGGCGTCCTAACGACTGGTTGAACTCAAACCTGGACAGTTCAAAGGTCAACACTGGTGGTAACTTTGAGAACCATCTCTGGAACCGAGAGAATTCACATCCACATTAATATTACCATATACATTTATATTTATATCTATATTACATTAACATTTAGATTTATTTGGCTTAACATTCACAACATCTTTCAAAGTAAACATAAAGCTAGGAATTTGGTATGCTCACCTCGCTGCCAGATGAAATGGTTTGATCTGAATGTAGGGCTTCAATCTCCCCCTCTACCATGGCACCTTCCAGACATTCATCCAAGTTATTGAAACCTTTCACTTGTAAGGGGTACTGGCCAAACTGCTCGATGTTGGATAAGGTATTGCCTAAACATGGTCAAACATCAATGTGAATTGACAGAAAAAATACTGATGTCATTAGAAGGGTCAGGAGTTTTTCTTCACGATGGGACCTCAGCAGGAAAATCTCTGGGGCCTAGTTAAAGGCTATAACAGGTTTTGACAAGAGTCATAGCCCTTGATAGCGAAAAGAGTCATAGCCTTAAAAATATAGTTTTTCCTGATCAGGTCATGTGATCAGGAAATACGAGGCCCTACAGTATGTATAACCAAAATCAAATGTCCATTCTATACTTACCCTTATGTGTTCTCTCTGCCACAAAAGTCCCATAGAAAAGCTGAACCATTAGGTTTCCTTTTCATCTTCCAGGCTGCTAAAGATAAGATGTCACTTTCATACCTCAAGCAACTCAATATCTGATAATAGTGGTACAGGATTTTATGGAATGTCACATACAGTAGCTGAACCAACTACCCAAAAAGAATACTGTAGCTATGGAATCTTAGTTACCAATGACAATATGTACTGTAAGTGCTCTCGTACAGCACTGCCTGTTAGGGATCAAATCCTTGACTTCACTCACATCCTAGAATGAACACATCTGAAATGACCATACATGAATACACAGTAGTTGTTGTAAAGTCGTGTCAATGACCCAAGTGTCTGTGTGGTGTGTGTGTGTGTGTGTATGCATTGACATGAGTGTGTGTGTGTGTGTGTGTGTGTGCGTACATGTACCTGTTGGGCCTCACTGGATCTGAAAGCATCTCTCAAAAGCTCTACGGCAGCAGAGGGGTCCAAGAACCTGCGAGTGGAGCACACCATGAGAGCAAAGATACAGCGCAGCTCCTGCATGAAGGCTATGTTCCTCTTGTCCTGAGAAGGCTTCTCTCACTTCACAGAGCTGCACTCGAAAACCTGCGTAACACTTTACTGATAGCCAGTTTTCAACAATATCTCTATACGCAAAGGGATTGTTCAGTCCATATTACTTTCATGAGCCAATATAAATTATTTAAAATGTATATACATTTTTATAACATTTACTTATAAATGGTTTATCAATGCTTATTCAAGGAAGTTACTATATAGTGTTACACACCATCTTTTTGCACACTCTATAACCCTCTAGTCTAGTTTCCCCTCTAACACCAGCCAGCCTTCCCCTGACTCTTCAGCCTCTGGGATCCAAAGGTCCCCTACTCTGTTCCTCAGGGCTCCTGGCCCTCCATTGGACACTCACCGAGTGGCTCTTACACTTCTCCAGGATTCGCTCAGACAGGCAGTAGTTGAGTACCAATCTGCGTAACACGGGCAGGTGGAACAGGGACTGAAACAACAAAGATGAGATTGGTCAGCATTCCTTAACACCGTCTTTTCATGTGTAAAATGTAACTGTCGAGGATATTTATGGAGGTTTTAACACACAAGAGTCACAGTTAAGCAAACTAAAGAAAATGCCACTGAGAATAATATAACTTTACCGTGTGATACGGAGAGATGGTGATTTTCCTCTCATAACAAGACAAATCAATGTGATTGTTTTCTATTTATATTAGTTAGTGACAAGATGCTTCATTGATGTTGGCGAGCTGTAGTGTGTTTTATTGCTGTAGTGTGTCTTAACTGTGTACCATATACAATACAAAATAATGTAGCCTTACGTGCAGTTACGAAGCGACAACAATATACCTGAGTTGTTGATCGCATTAGGCCTATGTGTCTTCTCAACTTTCTAGTTTCCCAGAAACCCAATTACAGCTTATCACAATCTTACTGTAAAGCGTACCACACAAGATACCACAGAAATATGAGTACACAGCCACATGAGGTCATTTAGTGAGTCTCAAACTTTCTATGAGCAAATTGTGATGAAAAAAGGTCAAATAAAAGCTCAAACAAGCAACAGAAAATGTCATCAGGGTTTGCTAAAGAAAAGGTTGGATTTAGATCTATTTCAAACAACTTCCCAGCCACTCAAAATGTGTGCATGCATTCCTATCCCCTGATGATATTTCCTCTGGGTTTTTAGTGCTTTAATCGATGTGACGCATATCTGAATGAAATTAAGGCAAATGAGCGTTCCCATCCGGCCTAATCTACCGATATAAACTAATTTCAGTCCAGGCTGCAGAGTTCATCGCCTGCTCTATCATCACAACACTGCACTATTTAATTACCCTTGCAGTCTATCAATATCAATGAAGGCTTGAATTTCAGCGAGGCCACCTGATAGGCCCGGCTAAATTCGGTCTGGAATGGACTCTTAATAGAATTAGAGCAGCAAGAAGCTTTAGCGTTTGGAAAGTAAAAAGCCCACCACTGCACTTCATCTTTCCTCATCCTCCTGGTATTACCGATAACTCAATTATCACAATATGGCTTGATTGTGTTGCAACAGGTTGAAAATAAATGTTCTGAAATGTTTGGTTTCAGTTGAGAGAGCAGGGGGAGAAGTCAGGTAATATCTCGACAGAAGTCGACATCGTTCAGCAAATTGGATGCAAACAAACATGTGTTTGGGGCCTTCTCTCCTAGTTGTAATATTTTTGAACCAATTCACACGAAAAGTCTTGAAAGGTTTCAGAAAACAGAGAGAAGTTGTAAACATGGCCACCATATATACACCAATTAGGAGGTGGTGTAGAAAGTAAATGTCGTATTACAGAGACCAGAGGAGTCCTAGGGATTCTGCAGACCAACGCAAAATTCGAATGCAACCTTTACTGTACGATATCAACCTTGGTAACGGTCTCCAGAGGCTTCAAATTAAGGTTTGCAATTAACAACTCCCCAAAATTCCAAACTTGTGAACCATATAACCTTTACATAATGCAAATGCTTGTTAACAGCCAAGGGACGAAGCTTATAGGAAACAAAAACAGGTGTGTGAGAGACAGAGAGACAGAAAGAGAGAGAGAGAGTCACAGCCAGGGCCTGACTGGTGATATGTGCTTGGCCCTCCTATGTTGAACATAATAAACAGCTCTCTATCCACCGGATGTGTACCAAACTCACTAAAAGTGGCAGTGATAAAGCCTCTCTTGAAAAAGCCAAACCTTGACCCGGAAAATATAAAAAACTATCGGCCTATATCGAATCTTCCATTCCTCTCAAAAATTTTAGAAAAAGCTGTTGCGCAGCAACTCACTGCCTTTCTGAAGACAAACAATGTATACGAAATGCTTCAGTCTGGTTTTAGACCCCATCATAGCACTGAGACTGCACTTGTGAAGGTGGTAAATGACCTTTTAATGGCGTCAGACCGAGGCTCTGCATCTGTCCTCGTGCTACTAGACCTTAGTGCTGCCTTTGACACCATCGATCACCACATTCTTTTGGAGAGACTGGAAACCCAAATTGGTCTACACGGACAAGTTCTGGCCTGGTTTAGATCTTACCTGTCGGAAAGATATCAGTTTGTCTCTGTGAATGGTCTGTCCTCCGACAAATCAACTGTACATTTCGGTGTTCCTCAAGGTTCCGTTTTAGGACCACTATTGTTTTCACTATATATTTTACCTCTTGGGGATGTTATTCGAAAACATAATGTTAACTTTCACTGCTATGCGGATGACACACAGCTGTACATTTCAATGAAACATGGTGAAGCCCCAAAATTGCCCTCGCTAGAAGCCTGTGTTTCAGACATAAGGAAGTGGATGGCTGAAAACTTTCTACTTTTAAACTCGGACAAAACAGAGATGCTTGTTCTAGGTCCCAAGAAACAAAGAGATCTTCTGTTAAATCTGACAATTCATCTTGATGGTTGTAAAGTCGTCTCAAATAAAACTGTGAAGGACCTCGGCGTTACTCTTGACCCTGATCTCTCTTTTGACGAACATATCAAGACTGTTTCAAGGACAGCTTTTTTCCATCTACGTAACATTGCAAAAATCAGAAATTTTCTGTCCAAAAATGATGCAGAAAAATTAATCAATGCATTTGTTACTTCTAGGTTAGACTACTGCAATGCTCTACTTTCCGGCTACCCGGATAAAGCACTAAATAAACTTCAGTTAGTGCTAAATACGGCTGCTAGAATCCTGACTAGAACCAAGAAATTTGATCATATTACTCCAGTGCTAGCTTCCCTACACTGGCTTCCTGTTAAGGCAAGGGCTGATTTCAAGGTTTTACTGTTAACCTATAAAGCGTTACATGGGCTTGCTCCTACCTATCTTTCCGAGTTGGTCCTGCCGTACATACCAATACGTACGCTACGGTCACAAGACGCAGGCCTCCTAATTGTCCCTAGAATTTCTAAGCAAACAGCGGGAGGCAGGGCTTTCTCCTATAGATCTCCATTTTTATGGAACAGTCTGCCTACCCATGTGAGAGACGCAGACTCGGTCTCAACCTTTAAGTCTTTACTGAAGACTTATCTCTTCAGTAGGTCATATGATTGAGTGTAGTCTGGCCCAGGAGTGTGAAGGTGAACGGAAAGGCTCTGGAGCAACGAACAGCCCTTGCTGTCTCTGCCAGGCCGGTTCCCCTCTCTCCACTGGGGTTCTCTGCCTCTAACCCTGTTACAGGGGCTGAGTCACTGGCTTGCTGGTGCTCTTTCATGCCGTCCCTAGGAGGGGTGCGTCACTTGAGTGGGTTGAGTTACTGACGTGATCTTCCTGTCTGGGTTGGCGCCCCCCCTTGGTTTGTGCTGTGGTGGAGACCTCTGTCGGCTATACTCGGCCTTGTCTCAGGATTGTAAGTTGGTGGTTGAGGATATCCCTCTAGTGGTGCGGGGGCTGTGCTTTGGCAGAGTGGGTGGGGTTATATCCTTCCTGTTTGGCCCTGTCCGGGGGTTTCTTCGGATGGGGCCACAGTGTCTCCGGACCGCTCCTGTCTCAGCCTCCAGTATTTATGCTGCAGTAGTTTATGTGTCGGGGGGCTGGGGTTAGTTGGTTATACCTGGAGTACTTCTCCTGTCTTATCCAGTGTCCTGTGTGAATTTAAGTATGCTCTCTCTAATTCTCTCGTTCTCTCTTTCTCTCTGAGAACCTGAGCCCTAGGACCATACGTCAGGACTACCGGGCATGCTGACACCTTGCTGTCCCCAGTCCGCCTGGCCTTGCTGCTATTCCAGTTTCAACTGTTCTGCCTGCGGTTATGGAACCCCTACCTGTCCCAGACCTACTGTTTTCAACTCTTAATGATCGGCTATGAAAAGCCAACTGAGATTTATTCCTGATTATTATTTGACCATGCTTGTCACTTATGAACATTTTTGAACATCTTGGCATGGTTCTGTTATAACCTCCACCCGGCACAGCCAGAAGAGGACTGGCCACCCCTCATAGCCTGGTTCCTCTCTAGGTTTCTTCCTAGGTTTTGGCCTTTCTAGGGAGTTTTTCCTAGCCACCGTGCTTCTACACCTGCATTACTAGCTGTTTGGGGTTTTAGGCTGGGTTTCTGTACAGCACTTCGAGATATTAGCTGATGTACGAAGGGCTATATAAAATAAAATTGATTGATTGATATAACAGGTGGGCCTAAATGGCAAAGCATTAAGGCCACAGCACAAACCCAGAATTTTCTACTAAACTTTTTTATTCTGTTCATATTGGGGTTCTCATCTCACCGGCACAATTCTCTTTTACTGTGCATATATTTTGTGTATATTTTGCAGTGCAAGCTGCCAACCTCGCAGTTATCTCACCTGTATGGCGGCACTGAACCAGCAGGTTTTGCCCATGTTGTGGATGCCCACAGGCCACTCATCCTGGCGGATCCAGTCTGCAGGGCTGCAGCTCTCTCCCTGGGCCTCGCAGCACTTCCTCTTCACTCGTGCGGCACTGTCCTCCACGTTGGCGTCCAGTGCCCTGGTACACACCAAAACACGCCACTCATCAACTGTAGGCAATGGTCTGATTGAGTTATACCTTGGTTGTATTCATTAGGCACCAAATGGAAGAAAACTGACTCAAATGGAGAGGGAGTACATGGACTTGTCCAATAAGAAATGCTCATTTTTGTTTTCCGTTGCGAAACGTTTCAAAATGTTTTATGTTGCGTGCCCTTATGAACAGGATCCTGGTATTCCACTGTCATCCTTTCTCGTTGACGTTATTTATTGCTCATACCACTGTGTCCACTTCAGATGTTATCACTATTTAATTGAGAGATGACTCAATTGGTGACTTCGTTCAGCAAGAAAACAGCAAGAGAAGGAGAGATGGTGAGGTACTGGACTACTATACCTGTTGAGCTCTCTCTCCACTGCCTGGGATTCTTGCAAGCTGAGCTCGATGGCTGTCTGAAGGTCATCTTTAGGAGGAGCCCCTGAGGACATTTTAGAATGATGGAGAGTCACAACACAAAGCATAGCGTTGATGTATTCAACATCAGATATCAGTTTGCATTGGGAAACAACTAATCTTCTTTGTTTATCACCAGACCCTCAGTATTTTTCTCCTTTCCTTAAACCTTCCTTCCCAACTTCTGGCCTAACTTTCTGGGCCTCCCTGTTGGCTTCTGTGTCTGGGATCTCGTCAGTCCCCTGGCCCTCCTCTGGAGGCTGTGTGGTCAGCAGTCCAACAGCATGGCTGATGTCCCCCTGGCTGGTCTGGAATCAGAGAGATAAGTAGGCATTACAATGTGTCCTTTCCAAGAACTCCAGCTCTACCCTGGCCTTGTGCCAGTCTGTTTCTGATTTTGCTAACTCTGACAAAGGACATAGCAGAGATAAACTGGCACCTAGGCAAGTTGCTACCCCTAACCTTAAGTTTGACCTCTACGTGACGGAGTCCTTCTAAAGGATCTGTTCCAATGGGGACCGAGATAAATAGGCTATTTCAAGACAAGAGTCATAAGCCTGGTGAGGGAGCCAGCTGATAAAAATGTCTGGGACAATGGTCTTTATTTTGCCATTCAAGCAAGTAAGTCACTGAGAACTCTTTTGCAATAACGACCTGAAATCTTCATCGCTCATATGTACAATATGCAGGTTTTCCCTTCAACTAGTTCATACTCATTGACTAATGGTGTAAACATGACATCTCACAGTTGTCATCTTAAAAAGCATTTTTAGATAATTTACGTTTAAGGCAAGAAATTATAAAATAGTTTGACAACCCTGTTGGTAAGCTTTTAAATGATAACAAACAACTGTTTATCTTTTCCAGTGATGAAGACATGGATGTATGATGGTATGGTATGCAAAATGGGTCAATTTTGAGCACCTTTATCTCCTGAATGTATTGGCATTCAGGTCCAAAAGGTAACTTTCGGACAACTTCTTCCATGGACAAACATGTATGGAAAGTTTTGTTTAAATCAAAAGGGATGCTGTAAAAAGGTTATTGAATTCAAATGGATTTACCTGCCTATCTATCTATGTATCTATCCATCCATCTACAATATGATAATGTTATACCGAGTAAGCAGGCAGAACCTAACTAAACCTATCTGCCCACAGTGTTTGGCACTCACCTTCAGGGCTCTCAGGAGGATCTGTGGATCTTGGATACCAGTGATCTCCCTCAGCTGGTTGATCAGCATCTGGCTCTGAGAAGAGACAAACATCAATAAAGAACAAAAGGCTTCCGTTAACCTGTTGCTAGGGTGAAAATAGTCTCTAAAATCAAGGTATGCAATTGTTCATTAGACCTTCCTGTCAAGATCGGAAAGAGTTCACATTCTAGAGGTTCTCTTTCCAGACCTTTACTTTTAAACGCCAATCTTCAACCCTGATTAGCGTGACAGAGTATTAGGGAGTAATAATTACTCAGATGAGCTATGGCGCTCTTCTATTAAAACTGTAAGATGTGTTTTTTGGGGGGCCATACGAATTACAAAGCACTTGCATACCATTGTCTGATGTCATTGACACATGCAATGTGACACATTGAAAAAATAAACAAAGTCCGCAGCGAGGAGGAGCAGGAGCAGGAGCAGGAAGGGGGAAGGGGGAAGGAGGGGGAGGAGAGGTAAGGAGGAGGGGGAGGAGAAAGACAGGATGAGCAGGAGGAGGAGGGGGGAGGTGGCGTAGGGGGAGGAGGACAGGAAGAGGAGGAGGACAGGAGGAGAGGGAAAGGAAGAGGAGGAGGAGGGGAGGGAGAATAATTACTTGCTGCAGAATTGCTTTTGTACCCTTCCCCAGATCTGTGCCTCGACACAATCCTGTCTCGGAGCTCTACGGACAATTCCTTCGACCTCATGGCTTGGTTTTTGCTCTGACATACACTGTCAACTGTGGGACCTTATATAGACAGGTGTGTGCCTTTCCAAATCATGTCCAATCAACTGAATTTACCACAGGTGGACTCTAATCAAGTTGTAGAAACATCTCAAGGATCATCAATGGAAACAGGATGCACCTGAGCTCAATTTCGAGTCTCATAGCAAAGGGTCTGAATACTTATGTAAATAAGGTATTTCTGTTTTTTATTTTTAATACATTTCCCCAAAAAGTATGGGGTATTGTGTGTAGATTGATGAGGATTTATTTTTATTTAATCAATTTTAGAATAAGGCTGTAACGTAACAAAATGTGGAAAAAGTCAAGGGGTCTGAATACACTGTATAAGGTCCCACAGTTGACAGTGCATGTCAGAGCAAAAACCAAGGTCGAAGGAATTGTCCGTAGAGCTCAGAGACAGGATTGTGTTGAGGCACAGATCGGGGGAAGGGTATCAAAAAAATTATTTAGCATTGTAAGTCCCCAAGAACACAGTGGCCTCCATCATTTTTAAATGGAAGAAGTTTGGAACCACCAAGACTCTTCCTAGAGCTGGCTGCCCGGCCAAACTGAGCAATTGGGGGAGAAGGGCCTTGGTCAGGGTGGTGACCAAGAACCCAATGGTCACTCTGACAGAGCTCCAGAGTTCCTCTGTGGAGATGAAAGAACCTTCCAGAAGGACAACCATCTCTGCAGCACTCCACCAATCAGGCCTTTATGGTAGAGTGGCCAGACGGAAGCCACTCCTCAGTAAAAGGCACATGACAGCTCGCTTAGAGTTTGCCAAAAGGCACCTAAAGGACTCTCAGACCATGAGAAACAAGATTCTCTGGTCTGATGACACCAAGATTGAACACTTTGGCCTGAATGCCAAGCATCACGCCTGGAGGAAACCTGGCACCATCCCTATGGTGAAGCATGGTGGTGGCAGCATCATGCTGTGGGGATGTTTTTCAGCGGCAGAGACTGGGAGACTAGTCAGGATCGAGAGAAAGATGAACGGAGAAAGTACAAAGAGGTCCTTGATGAAAACCTGCTCCAGAGCGCTCAGGACCTCAGACTGAGGTGAAGGTTCACCTTCCAACAGGACAACGACCCTACGCACACAGCCAAGACAACGCAGGAGTGGCTTCGGAAAAGTCTCTGAATGTCCTTGAGTGGCCCAGCCAGAGCCCGACTTGAACCCGATCGAACATCTCTGGAGAGACCTGAAAATAGCTGTGCAGTGATGCTCCCCATCCAACCTGACAGGGCTTGACATGATCTGTAGAGAAGAATGGGAGAAACTCCCCAAATACAGGTGTAACAAGCTTGTAGCGTCATACCCGAGAAGACTCGAGGCTGTAATCGCAGCTACCGGTGATTCAACAAAGTACTGAGTAAAGGGTCTGAATACTTATGTAAATGTGTAATGCTTTGTCATTATGAGGTATTGTGTGTAGAGTGATGAGGAAAAAAAACAATTTAATCCATTTTAGAGGCTGCAATGTAACAAAATGTGGAAAAAGTCAAGGGGTCTGAATACTTTCCGAAATGCACTGTGTGTGTGTGTGTGTGTGTGTATATACACTGCTCAAATAATAAAGGGAACACTAAAATAACATCCTAGATCTGAATGAATGAAATAATCTTATTAAATACTTTTTTCTTTACATAGTTGAATGTGCTGACAACAAAATCACACAAAAATTATCAATGGAAATCAAATTTATCAACCCATGGAGGTCTGGATTTGGAGTCACCCTCACAATTAAAGTGGAAAACCACACTACAGGCTGATCCAACTTTGATGTAATGTCCTTAAACCAAGTCAAAATGAGGCTCAGTAGTGTGTGTGGCCTCCATGTGCCTGTATGACCTCCCTACAACGCCTGGGCATGCTCCTGATGAGGTGGCGGATGGTCTCCTGAGGGATCTCCTCCCAGACCTGGACTAAAGCATCCGCCAACTCCTGGACAGTCTGTGGTGCAACGTGGCGTTGGTGGATGGAGCGAGACATGCTGTCCCAGATGTGCTCAATTGGATTCAGGTCTGGGGAACGGGCGGGCCAGTCCATAGCATCAATGCCTTCCTCTTGCAGGAACTGCTGACACACTCCAGCCACATGAGGTCTAGCATTGTCTTGCATTAGGAGGAACCCAGGGCTAACCGTACCAGCATATGGTCTCACAAGGGGTCTGAGGATCTCATCTCGGTACCTAATGGCAGTCAGGCTACCTCTGGCGAGCACATGGAGGGCTGTGCGGCCCCCCAAAGAAATGCCACCCCACACCATGACTAACCCACCGCCAAACCGGTCATGCTGGAGGATGTTGCAGGCAGCAGAACGTTCTCCATGGCGTCTCCAGACTCTGTCACGTCTGTCACATGTGCTCAGTGTGAACCTGCTTTCATCTGTGAAGAGCACAGGGCGCCAGTGGCGAATTTGCCAATCTTGGTGTTCTCTGGCAAATGCCAAACGTCCTGCACGGTGTTGGGCTGTAAGCACAACCCCCACCTGTGGACGTCGGGCCCTCATACCACCCTCATGGAGTCTGTTTCTGACCGTTTGAGCAGACACATGCACATTTGTGGCCTGCTGGAGGTCATTTTGCAGGGCTCTGGCAGTGCTCCTCCTGCTCCTCCTTGCACAAAGGCGGAGGTAGCAGTCCTGCTGCTGGGTTGTTGCCCTCCTACGGCCTCCTCCACGTCTCCTGATGTACTGGCCTGTCTCCTGGTAGCGCCTCCATGCTATGGACACTACGCTGACAGACACAGCAAACCTTCTTGCCACAGCTCGCATTGATGTGCCATCCTGGATGAGCTGCACTACCTGAGCCACTTGTGTGGGTTGTAGACTCCGTCTCATGCTACCACTAGAGTGAAAGCACCGCCAGCATTCAAAAGTGACCAAAACATCAGCCAGGAAGCATAGGAACTGAGAAGTGGTCTGTGGTCACCACCTGCAAAACCAGTCCTTTATTGGGGGTGTCTTGCTAATTGCCTATAATTTCCACCTGTTGTCTATTGCATTTGCACAACAGCATGTGAAATGTATTGTCAATCAGTGTTGCTTCCTAAGTGGACAGTTTGATTTCACAGAAGTGTGATTGACTTGGAGTTACATTGTGTTGTTTAAGTGTTCCCTTTATTTTTTTGAGCAGTATATATATATATATATAAATAAGGGCTGCACGATATATAGTTTCAGCATCGACATTGCGATGTATGCATCCGCAATAGTCACATCGCAGAACATGCGATTTAGTAAGTTAAACATATCAGTCTACAATATATATATTTTTAAAATGTTAAACTAGCATTATATCTGTCTGATATAACGTAATTTACTACGATTTATTGGTTATTGGATACACAGTTTATTATTATTATTATTTTAAACACGGAGTTGGTTGCTGCACGTGGTTGACATGCAGGCTCTGCTTGCACGCAACGAAATGATGAGCGAGGAACAGGCATAAAAGACCGAAATGGAGAATTTGCATCGTCAATTACAGTGGGGAAAAAAAGTATTTAGTCAGCCACCAATTGTGCAAGTTCTCCCACTTAAAAAGGTGAGAGAGGCCTGTAATTTTCATCATAGGTACACGTCAACTATGACAGAAAAAATGATTTAAAAAAATCCAGAAAATCACATTGTAGGATTTTTTATGAATTTATTTGCAAATTATGGTGGAAAATAAGTATTTGGTCAATAACAAAAGTTTCTCAATACTTTGTTATATACCCTTTGTTGGAATGACACAGGTCAAACGTTTTCTGTAAGTATTCACAAGGTTTTCACACACTGTTGCTGGTATTTTGGCCCATTCCTCCATGCAGATCTCCTCTAGAGCAGTGATGTTTTGGGGCTGTCACTGGGCAACACGGACTTTCAACTCCCTCCAAAGATTTTCTATGGGGTTGAGATCTGGAGACTGGCTAGGCCACTCCAGGACCATGAAATGCTTCTTACGAAGCCACTCCTTCGTTGCCCGGGCGGAGTGTTTGGGATCATTGTCATGCTGAAAGACCCAGCCACGTTTCATCTTCAATGCCCTTGCTGATGGAAGGAGGTTTTCACTCAAAATCTCAAGATATATGGCCCCATTCATTCTTTCCTTTACACGGATCAGTCGTCCTGGTCCCTTTGCAGAAAAACAGCCCCAAAGCATGATGTTTCCACCCCCATGCTTCACAGTAGGTATGGTGTTATTTGGATGCAACTCAGCATTCTTTGTCCTCCAAACACGACGAGTTGAGTTTACCAAAAAGTTATATTTTGGTTTCATCTGACCATATGACATTCTCCCAATCCTCTTCTGGATCATCCAAATGCACTCTAGCA